AACCGCGAACCGCNATTTTATAACGGTCACGTCGTACAAACCGTGCCTCGACCTGCTCATTAAGACGATGCTCAAGAGCTTCACGGCCATCGTCCAGGACGACGCCGCCACGGACGACCTCGCGGCGCGCCTCAACGGACACGATCTCATCAGGACCGAACCCTACCCCGAGAAGGAGCGACCTGATCGATGTCATCGTTACAGACGCCGCCAGAGACAAGTTCGCCGCCAATGACAAGTTCCTGGCGCACCTCAAGCGTGGGCTCGACAGCGGTTCCGACCCCGGCAAGGTGCAACGCCTGATGGAATTATTTGCGCACGTTGACAAACTCGAGAAACTCGGATCTGGCGAGATGGAGGCGGCCGCAAGTGATTTGAAGGAGCTTCTCTCGAGCGCCTCGAATCGGGCGGTGAGCCCTGGGAGGGCCTCTACAGGCCCCTCTATGTGTACTGGCTCACTCAGGAGCTTGATCCGAACATCCCTGGCTATTTGCGAGATCTCCTTTCGGAGTTTCAGGAGTTCGCCGCGGACGAGGTCGAGGTCAGATTGCGCTAGATCTACTTGTAGTAAACCGCAGGTGTCTGGGGTATTTGGGGTCCATATGCTAATTACATGACGATGCACAGGCGCGACCTGCGGTCGGAGATGGCGATGCCCTTGGCGTTCTTCGGCCGGGCGACGAAGGCGGCCTTGAGCGCCTCCTTCTCGAGGCGGGCCTGCTCGGCGAGCTGCTCGGGCGTGAGGCCGAGGAGCTGCTCCCGCGACTCGCCGCCGCGGACGTTGCCGTCCTTGCCCATGGTCGGCCAGCCGCCCGCGGGCTTCTTGCCGAGCTTGGCCATCTCGAGCGTCTTGGCGTTGACCTTGAGGGCCGCCTGGAGCTGCTCGTCGACCGCGGCCTTGCGGTCGCGCTCGCGGCCCGCGCGCCGCGCGTCGAGCTTGGTCTTGAGCGCGCTGTCGATGGCCGCGTCCCACTCCTCGAGGGAGATGGACTCGTCGTGGTCCGTGTCGAGCTCCCAGAGCATGGCCTTGACGCGCGCGGGGACGAGCAGGTACTGGAGGTACTGGTTGCCGCAGGAGATGAGGAACTTCTGCACGTCGCCGTTGACCTCGACGCCCCGGACGATCTCGTCCTTGTCGAGGGACGCGCTGCCGTCCGTGTCGATGAGCTGGAAGACCTCGCGCGCCAGGCTCAGGAATTCGATGGAGAAGCGGTCGTCGTCCTCGCGCTCCTCCGCGCGCGCCGCGAGGCACGCCTTCAGCGCGCGGTCGATGGACTCCATCCACTCCCGCTTCTGGATGATGCCGTCCTTGTCCGCGTCGATGTCGTCGAGCGCCCGCGACAGCTTCGAGGGCACGAGCAGGTCCTGGAGCTCCGTGACCTTGCACATGACCAGGAACTCGATGACGTCCTCGTCGTGCTGCACGGCCTTGACCATCTCCTGCTTGTCCAGATTCTCGTCGCCATCCGCGTCGATGATGTCGTAGATCTGGTTCGCCAGCGCGAGGAAGGACTCGGCGAAGGCGTCGTCCTCGACGCGGCGGCCGCCCATGATGTCGAGCTTCGCCATGAGCGCCTTCTGGATGAGCGCGTCCCACTCGTCGACGCTGATCTCGCCGTCGCCGTCCGCGTCGGCCTCGGCCATGGCGACGGCGACCTTGGCGGGCACGAGGAAGTACTGCAGCAACTTGTTCGGCGTCGTCTTGAGGAAGTCCGCGACGCGCTCGTCCTCCTTGATGGCCCTTAAAATCTCCTCCGTCGCCAATTTCCCGGAGCCGTCGACGTCGATGAGCGCGAAGACGCGCTTCGCGTCGCTCAGGAGCGCGTCGGACGCGCGGTCGTTCTCGCCGCGCATCTCCTGCTCGCGCCGCTCCATGAGCGCCTTCTTCACCGTGTCCTCCTTCTCGGCCTTCTCCTCGACGCGGCCGCGCGAGTCGACGACCTGCGGGCCGGAGTCCTTGGCCTCGAGCTTGGCTTTGAGGCGGTCGTCGAGGGAGCCCCGGTCCTTGTCCGTCGACTCGAGCTCCGCCAGGGGCCGCCGGATGGACGCGGCGCCCTCGAGCTTCTTCGGCGGCGGCGGCTTGAGGTCCTCGGCGTCGAGCGCGAGGGCCCCGGACCGGTACTCCTTGAGCATGCGCGTCAGCGCGCGCTCCTTGGCGGGGACGATGGACTCGAGGGACGGCGCGACCTTGGCGCCCTCCTTGCCCTTGGCCCGCGCGTGCGTGAACCACTTGTAGAACTCGGAGAACTCGACGGTGCCGTCGCGGCCGATGTCGATCTGCGTGAACGCGTCCTTGAGCGCGGCGCGCTTCGGCGGCTCCGAGAGGCCCAGGAGCAGGCCGTTGCGCATCATGGCGACGAACTCCGTGCGGTCGATCTCACCGCTGGCGTCGACGTCGTACTGATTGAAGACGTCCGTGACGACGAGCTCGACGCGCTCCTCGAGCGACATCTTCTGCCGGTCCTTGACGACCTTCTTCTCCTCGGCCCGGACGAGCTTCTCGAGCTCGGCGAAGCGCCGCGGGAACTTCTTCCGCAGCTTGTCGCCCAAAGCCTTGTCCTTGGCCTGCTGGATCGCGGACGCGAGCTCCTTCTTCGCCAGGCCCTGCTTCTGGATGACCTGGGCCCGCTGCAGGTTGTCCTTCTGGAGCACGAGCCAGGTGCGCGCGCGCGCCTGGGCGACGGCCGTCTTCTTCGCGTGCTTGCCCACGGCGACGAGCCAGCCGTTGGCCTCGTCGCGGTTCTCGTCGACGTGGCGGAGCCCGCCGACGCGGCTCCGGAGCCATGTCTTCGCGCGGTCCTGGTTGTCGCAGTGGGCGATGCAGGCCGTCGCCCGCGCCAATAAACTCTCGAAGGCGTTCTGCGTGCGGTAGACGCGCGCGATGGCCGCCTCGCCGAGCTTGGACATGAGGAACTGGCACGCGTCGCGCTTGGGCCCGTGCACGGCCGTCTTCGCGGCGGTCTGCTTGAGCAGCTCCGCGTCGCGGAAGCGCAGCTGCTGCTGGGCGAAGACCTTCTTCGCCATCTCCCGCAGCTCCTCGGCGACGCGGCACTGCTCGTTGTACGCGTCCATGACGCCGCGCGACCGCGCGGACAGCCACTCGCGCGCCATCTGGCGCATGACCTGCGTCGCCACGGCGTTCGTGCCGAGCCTGCTCAGGTCCTCCTGGGCCGCCTGCATGTCCGTGGACAACGCCTTGGACTTGATGCCGCGCCGCCGGAGGTACTCGTAGGCGACGCAGCGGTTGTAGTAGAGCTCGTGCGCGCGGTTCGCGTTCGCGCGGCCCCGCGCTAGAGCCTCCGCGAGCTGGTTCGCGAGGCGCGCCTTGATGGCGAGGAAGCGCGTCGCGTCCGCGCGCCGCTCCATGAGGCGCCGCGCGCCCTCGACGCGCCGCTTGAGCCACGCGTCCGCCGCGACCTGGGCAGCAAAATGGTGATTCAACGTCGCTTCAACGTGAGTGTTCCGCGCGCGCGCGTTCCGGGAAAAGCATCCACGCTTCGAGACCGTTCCGAGAGATGATCGCTCGTCCAAAAATCAGCCGAAACGAGTGGACAACGGCCGAGAAAGGAGCCTTTGAAGTTGGGAATTTCGCTCTCTTGTCCTGCCCTGGCCGCGACCTGGCGCATCCAGTGCGCGTAGGCCAAGCGCGCGCGCGCCTTCAAGTCCAGCACCGCCGCGCCGCGCCGCGCCGTCAGGACGAGCCAGCGCCGGCACGCGAGCGTGGCCCGCGAGTGGCGCAGCGCCTTGAAGCCCCGGCGGACGAGGTACGCGAACGCGCCGGACCGGTCCTCCTTGACGCGGCGCAGGTAGGCGTCCCAGGAGCCCGCGGTGCTCCGCTGCTCGTGGACGCCCTTGCGCCGGCCGTCGGCGCCCCGGAGCGTGCGCACGACCAGGGGCGCGGGCTCGCCGAGCTCGCGGCGCTGCAGGTTGAACCACGGCGCCGACGGCACGGACGGCAGCGCCTGCCCGAAGGCCGCGCCGAGCTTCGCGGAGCTGATGAAGAGGTTGTAGTCCACGAGGGGCTCCGCCAGGGGGTCCTTGCCCTCGGCGCCGTAGAAGCCCGCGCCGCTCCGCGCCTGTGCCGAAGTCAAATCTTCAACTCGACTTCAATGTGCGCATATGCGACAGTTTCGACGCAAGCTCTTCGGCTGTGCTTCGAGAACTCGACGAGAACAATCGATTCGTCCAAAAATCAGCCGAATCGACTTCGATGTGATCGAGCTAGAGCATTCTGAAGTTTGACCAGAACCACCCGAACCGGTGGTTGAATTCGGCGCCGCTCCGCGCGCGGCCCTCGGTCCGGAGCCCGAGCCGCTCGTCGGGCTCCTCGTCCTCCGCGTGGCCGCCGCCGATGGCGTAGTGGCCCGCCAGGTGGTCGATCTCCTTGTCGCTCAGCGCGTTCCCCGCGGCGCAGCGGATCGCCGTTTTGAACTCCGACGCCTTGCAGTAGCCCCGCTCCTTCGGGTCGAGGAGCCGCAACAGGTCGTAGAGGGGCATGGGGTCCGCGACCTTGAGCGCGCCGTTCGCCGTGCCGTCGTGCGTCGCGTGGACGAGGTGCGCGCCCGCGGCCGCCAGCGCCGGCGGCTCGTCGCGCGCGGCCGCGTCCGTGATGACGCGCCGCGCGGCCGCGGCGACCTTGGACTGCTCGCGGATGACCGCGGACGCGTGGTTCAGCCGGTTCGCCTCCGACGGCTTGACGACGATGGGGTCGAGGGCCGGGCCCGGCCGCTCCTGTTTCGCCGGCGACCGGCCCAGGGGCCCGACGCCCGGGACGTCGCCGTTTTTCAGGAGCACGTGGCCCTGGACGGCCGCGTCGGCCGCGCGGAGCGCGGCCTCGTTGCGCGCGGTGCCCATGACCGTGAAGTCCCGCCGCCGGGCCCGCAGGCGCGCCTCCTCGTCCTCGACGACCGGGTCGTCTACCAATTCGCCGCCCGTCACGCGCGAGAGCGCCGCGGTCCAGCCGCGCGCCGTGCCCGCGCCGCCGCCGCCGCCGCCGTCGGCCGCGCGCGTCGCCGCGATCATGTTCCGCTCCCGCCGCGTGAAGTCTAAAGCGCTCAGGAACCGCGCCTGGTCCAGCGTCAGCGTGCCCACGGGCGGCGCGAAGAGCCGCTCGAGCAGGCGCACGGTCTTCTTCCGGGGGATCCGCGGCGCGAGGCCGTGCGCGGAGAGGAATAATTCCGCGTCGATGTCGCAGTAGGGCCCGCCGACGGCCTCCGTGAGGTCCGCCATGTCCTCCTCGATGGACGTGAGGGGGAAGGGCGACGCCTCGGAGCCCTCGAGCGTCTTCTGCTCCTCCAGAGAGACGGTCTCATGCGCGGCCGACTGGCTCAGGGACTCGCCGTCGAAGGTCACGCGCGTGCCCACGCTCCGGTTCTCCAACAGGGCGAGCTCGTGCTCGGGCCGCGACGCGTCGGCCGCGAGGATGGCCTTGTCGCGCGACGCGCCGAGCAGCTCGTCGACGTCGACGCCCGCGAGGCGGCCCGGCGGCGGCGTCGCCGCGTCGGCGGTCCGCGGCCGCTCGTCGGCGGTCCGCGGCCGCGCGTCGTCGCCGCGCCGGGGCCGCTTGCGGCTCCCCGGCGTCGGCGACGCCGTGCGCGCCGTGTGGATCATCGGCGGCGGCGCGTCCTCGGACGGCGCGGGCGCCTCGGCGTACGCGCCCGCGGCCGCCGCCGCGCGGGTCGGCGCCGCGCTCTCGAGGGACGCCGTCTTCACCGTCGACACGAGCGTCGACGACCCGACGCGCAGCGCGCCGAGCGACCGGGCGCCCGAGAGCGACGAATCCTCGGAGCCCGGCGGCCCCGACCGCAGGTGCTCGCTGCTCTTGGATCGTTGTCTCGGCGGCGACGCGTCGCGCGGGAGCTTCGGCGCGTCGCCCGGGTCGCCCTGCTCGAACCAGGTGCCCGCGCTCGACACGGACGCGTCGCCCATAGGGTTCCGCGGCTCCGCGGCGTAGGACCCCTCGGGCGACCGGGGCGGCTCCATGGACTGGACGAAGGACGCGGCGAAGTCGTGCTGCCGCTGCCCGGGCGACGGCGCCCGCCGCTCGGGGCTTTGGTGTCGCCGGCGGCGCTCGCCCGCGCGCGCCTCGCGGCCGTAGGGGTCGCGGTCGCGGCGGTCGCGCGCGCGCGAGCGGCGCGGCTCGTCGTCGCCGGGGAACATCTCGAGGAGGCGCCGCGCGTTGTCCTCGCTGACGGCGTAGCTCCGGAAGAGGGCGGCGTCCTGCTGGACGCGCCGCTCCAGGCGCGTGGAGGACCCGCGCGTCGGCCTTTTGATCGCGTCGCCGGACGACAGCGACGACGCGCCGCCGAGGGAGAGCATCTCGCCGTCGTCGGTCAGGGCGCCGACGTCCAGCGGCGGCGGGCTCGGCCCGAGGTTCTCCGCGCCGAGGAGCCGCTGCGCGACGACGCGGCCGAGGTCGACGATCGCGGCGTCGTCCGCGAACGTCGCGACGGCGCGCTGGACGACGGGCGCGGCCCCGGCGTCGAGCGCCGCGGCGCAGCGCGCCTTGACGGCCGTGACGAGCTTGAGGGCCTCGAGGCCCGCGCGCTGCCGCGCCCCGTCGGCCGGCGCCTGGAGCATGAGGCGCACGGCGGCCACGGCGACGTCCGACGCCGCCCCGAGGGCCTGCTGGCCGCCGCCGTCGGCGTGGCGCTCGGCCTTTTGGAGGCTGAGGAGGCCGGCCCGCAGCGCCTTCCGCGGGTCGCCCACGCGGCCCGCCGGCGACGCCATGGCCGCCGCGCTCCCGTCGGGCCGGAGCCAGCGCCCAGCCTTTGGGCAGCCCTGTTAGGGGTAGCACACATCGTTGACGGCACGATCTACTAAAAACCCATCGTGGCTGCTGCCCGCGGCGCTAGACGATGGGCAATGCCTGGGCGACGCCGGAGCTCGTGGCGCCCTTCGACCACTTCCAGCGCTGGGACCACGCGCGGGCCGAGGAGCTGCTCTTCGTCTTCAAGGAGAACGAGTTCGACTTCGGCATCGACGCCGACGTCGTCGCGGCGCTCCTCGAGGGCGACCGGTCCACGGCCAGGGCCGTCGTCGACCGCTTCGCGCCGGTGGCCGCCAAGGGCGGGGGCCGCGTCATCAACGGCCTCGCCTTCGTCGCGGGCCTCGTCGTCATCGCCGGGTGCCCGCGCGTCTGCGCGGACCGCGGCCTAGCCGCGGGCGTCCGCGAGAAGCTCGGCCTCGTCTTCGACACCTTCGACATCGAGGACTCGAATTCGATCCGCAAGGACGAGATGACCATCGCCCTCATGTCCTGCCTCCGCGCGCTGACCGTGGTCCTGGGCAAGGGCAGCCCGCCGAGCGACGCGGCCTGCGAGCAGATCACGAACAAGGCGTACGCGGACCTCGACAAGGACTACTCGACGTCCTTCTCCAAGGCCGAGTTCCACCGCTTCATCTTCAACCGCCTCGGCCCCGAGTGCCGCAGCCTCGACGACGCGCTGACGGCCTTCGGCGTGTTGCCCGCGCCGCCGGAGCCGGAGCCGGAGCCGGAGCCCCCGGCGCCGCCGATCCCGCCCGGCGCGGACGTCGTCGACCTCTCCGCCGACGCCGTACCCGCGCCGGCGCCGGCGCCGGCGCCGGCGCCGGGCGCCGCGCCCGAGGACGACGCCGCGGACCGGGACCGGGCCGCGGGCCGGCTCCAGGCGCGCGTCCGCGGCCGCAACGAGCGGACGAACCCGAAGCCGCGGCCCGCGAGGCGCGCGCGGCCCGCGGCCGCGCCGGCGCCGGCGGCCGGCGGCGCGCCGTCGCCCGCGCCGGGCCTCTCGGACGAGGCGCCCGTGCCGTCGTCGACCAAGTGGCACGTCGTCGGGGGCGTCGCCGAGGCCCGGCCGCCGTCGAGCCTCTCGCCGAGCCGCCGCGCGGCGGGCGGCGACTTCCCCGCCGACGCGCCCGCCGCCGCGCCCGCCGCCGCGCCGGACGCCGACCAGGGCGCCGCCGCGTCCAAGCTGCAGGCGAGGATCCGCGGCCACAACGAGCGCGCGAACCCCTCCGAGCCCGCGCACGTCAAGGCCGAGAAGGACGCGGCGTCCGCGAAGCTCCAGGCGCGGTATCGCGGCCACCAGGGGCGGACGAACCCGTCGGAGCCCGCGCACGTCAAGGCGGAAAAGGACGCGGCGTCGGCGAAGCTCCAGGCGCGGTACCGCGGCCACAAGGAGCGCGCGAACCCGTCGGAGCCCGAGCACGTGAAGCAGGACAAGTCCGCCGCGAAGCTCCAGGCGCGCATCCGCGGCAAGAACGAGCGGACGAACCCCTCCGAGCCGGCGCACGTCAAGGCGGAAAAGGACGCGGCGTCGGCGAAGCTCCAGGCGCGGTACCGCGGCCACAAGGAGCGCGCGAACCCGTCGGAGCCCGAGCACGTGAAGCAGGACAAGTCCGCCGCGAAGCTCCAGGCGCGCATCCGCGGCAAGAACGAGCGGACGAACCCGAAGCCCCGGCCGGCGAAGATGACGCGCCAGGAGTCGACGAAGGCGACGTCGCAGGGCCGCAAGGACCGCGTCTCCTTCCTGAGCGGCGACGACGAGGCGGCGTCGAGGCTCCAGGCGCGCATCCGAGGACACAACGAGCGGACGAACCCGAAGCCGCGGCCCGAGAAGGCGGCCAAGCCCGAGCCCGCGCCCGAGCCGGACGCGGACCAGAGCGCGGCCGCGTCGAAGCTCCAGGCGCGCATCCGCGGCCACAACGAGCGGGCCAATCCCTCGGAGCCGGAGCACGTGAAACAGGCGAAGGCGGAGCAGGCGGAGAAGGACGCCGCCGTGGCCAAGCTCCAGGCCCGCACACGCGGCCATCAGGAGCGAGCGAATCCGTCGGAGCCCGAGCACGTCAAGGCCGAGAAGGACGCGGCCTCGGCGAAGCTCCAGGCGCGATACCGCGGCCACCAGGAGCGAACGAACCCGAAGCCGCGGCCCGTGAAGGAGGCTGCGGCGCCGGATGCTCCCGTCGCGGAAGCGCCGGCTCCGGCTCCCGCGTGTGAGGCATAATCATTACTCGCGAGACTCGCCGTCGCTTGTGACGGGGCGCGTGCGAGGCGGGGGTGCAGTCTTGGATCTTGGGCGCGGCGGCGCGCCGCTCTACTTCACGCTCTTGAACAGGCTCCGGAGGCTCGACGAGCGCTCCCGCGCGACGGCGGCGCGCTTCGTGCGGCCCCGGATGCGCTCGACGAAGCCGCCGGGCTCCGCGCGCGCCGCGGGCTTCGCCGCGGGCCACGTCGCGAGCGCCGGGAGCTTGCGGACCCACTTGTTCGCGCCGCGGCGGCTCGTTGGCTCCGAGAAGCGGTGCGCCACGGGCCGCGTCGAACTCCACTGCGAGGCCTTGGGCGCGGACGAGCACGTCGACGTCGCGGTGCTCGGCGAGGCCTGCGACTTGCTCGCAAACGACCAGGACCGGCCCATCATCCGCCGCAGGGACGTGGCGCTGGACCGCGTCGAGGCCGGCGACGGCGGCGGGTTCTTGTAGCGGAAGTTGAAGCGCGGCGTCTGCCCGGCGCTCAGCTGGCGGAAGAAGGACGGCCGCCGGCCGTCGGAGGTGCGGGGCTCGTCGGCGTCGACGATGGCCGCGCCGGCCGCGGCGAACTTCTTGCGCAGGAGCGAGCGGCGAGGCATCGTGGTTTCGTGCGTGGTTTGTGGTTGGCGCGAAGGCTGCCCGGCAGTGAACGGGAATCTCCATGGCCGCGTCGAGAAGAGGTCCGGAATCCAGAAGCTTTATAAAACCGCTCTTGCCGGGCTCTTGCACAGATCTTGCCGCTCTAGAATTCGGGGCAGCATGGCTCGGTGCGAGGACGCGGAGGAAGGCTACGAATACAAGGACGCCGACTGCGGCGAGACCAAGGAGCCGGGGCTCTCCGTCGCGCAGCGCGTCGGCTCGGTGGGAGCGCTGCACGCCGTGGCCGAGAACCCCGTCCGCGAGTCGCGCATCCCCGGCGAGATCTCGGCGCGCCTGGCCGTGGAATTGCATTGCGCCGCGGGGCTGCCCGACGCGGGCGGCATGTTCTCGTCCATCGTCGCCGAGATCGCGCTGGAGACCGACGGCACCCGGCTGGCGGCGGGGCGCCTGGACGCGCGGTCGACGCCCGTCTGGGCCGGGCTCAAGGGCTCGTGCCTCGTCTTCGAGCTCGAGGCGCCGTCGGACACGGCCGTCGTCGACGTCTCGACTCTCGAAGTCGTCGTCGACCTCTGGCGCGTGTCCGCGACCTACGACGAGCGGCTCGTGGCGACCGCTCGGTGCGTCGCGGGCCACTCGGCCGACGGTTTGCCGCGCGACGTGCCCCTGAAGACGATCAAGCACCCGCCGGAGGGCGGCCTCTTCGAGAGCCTCTTCTGGCGCGACCCGCGCAGGGAGCCCGTCCCCGGCGTCTCGCTCGACGACGTCCTCGACGGCGCCTGTCCGCAGCTCACGCTGTCCGTCCACTGCGACAGCGCGCTCAATCCCGTCGCCGTCGCCTACGCGCCGCCGTCGTCGGTCTGCGAGGTCGACGCGCCGGCGACCGCGACGCCGTCCGACGGCGCCTTCACGTATAGTAGCCGCTAGGTTACTGGGCCGGCGCGGGCGCGGCGGCCGTCGGGGAGCCGCCGGAGAGGCCCCGAGCCGCGGCGGCGACCGCGGCGGCGGAGGCGAGGGCGACGAGGCCGAAGAGCCGCCAGACGAGGGCGGCGGCGACGACGGCGAGGCCGACAAGCGCCGGCGGGAGGCGCTTCTTCGCGCGCGGCGCGGCCGCCGAGGGCGCGGGCGCGTTGGAAAAGGACACGCGCTTCCGCGGCGTGTTCGGCGGCGGCAGGCGCTCGACCTCGACGAGCGTCGAGTTCGCCTCGATGGACGCGACCCAGTCCCGCGCGTCGTCCGGCGACGCGACCTTGAAGCGGTAGTGGCGGTCCACGGACTCGACGGTGAAGTAGCGGCTCGCCGGGCCGTCGTGGCGCGCGCGCGCCTACCGCGGTACGACTTGTTCCGTCTTTTCTCGGTCGAACGCTCTCAAACGTCGTCGCGGCCGCGGGACGCCGGCGCGCGCGCAGACGCAGGACCCGCGGCGCTTGTTCTTCGTCCAGGAGAGCACGCCGTCGGACGCGAGGTGGAGCTCGAGGGGCCGCCGCAGGTAGGCCGTGTGCTTTCCGCGCTTCCGCGCGAGGCCGACCTTGACGGGCGACGGCGCGTCGCCGCCGCCGCCCCGCGCCGCGGTGCCCGCGAGCTGGAGCTGGTTCGTCGCCGGCAGCCGGAGGTGGGCCGGCGCGTCGTCGTCGCCGAGCGCGCGGACGTAGTCGCCGAGCGGCACGCCCGGCGAGCCGCCGCGGAGGCCGTGCTTCTCGCTCGCCATCCACGACGGCAGCTCGGAAAGCGGCATGCCCGCGGCGACCATCTGGGGCAGGTAGGCGTCGGGCCCGCCGAGGATGGAGATCTTGGCGATGGTCTCCGCGGAGAGCATGGGCCGGAGCAGGCGCCAGAGGATCTGGAAGACGAGCGGCGCGTTCAGGAGCCACATGGCTCCCAAAGAGCCCGGGTAGTGCGCCAGCGACATGGCCACGATGTCCACGACCGTGTTGATGGTCTGCCGGTTCAGCTTACCCCGCGTCAGGCCGTCGAGGTCGAAGACGTGGACGTGCTCCGTCCGCGCCTTCGCGTACGCGTCGCCGGCGCCGGAGCCGCCGCGCCGCTCGGCCGCGCGCGCCTGGAGGACGTCGACGATCTCCATGTCCTGGGCCCGGCAGGCGCGGATGCCCTCCTTCGTGGGCACGTCGCGGTGCAGCGCGTCGCTGTCGAGGGTCCTGACGCGCTCGACGTAGATGAGGCGCCCTCGGTCGTCGACGCCGTGCGCGGTCGTGGCCCACGCGGCGTGGTACGGCTCCCAGTACTCGGCCCGGTCGCAGAGCAGGTCGTCGACGCCGTACTCCAGCCGCCAGGCGACCGTCGTGTCGAGGGCCTTGGCGACGTCCCGGAGCGGCTCCGTCGGCAGCGACCGCACCATGCGCACCTTGAGGCCCTCGCCGACGAGGCGCCGCGTCGACGGCGCCAGCAGGGGCCGCACGCCGCGCCAGCGCCGCGCCTCGTCGTCGTCGAAACAGTCGCACGCGTCGTCGTCGTCCATCGCAGTCTTTCACCGCGCGCCCATCGGGGCAGCAAGCAGCCCTTGGTTGCACGGCGCGGCTCAACACCGGCCAGCGCTCGACAGTGAAGCTCTCGCGCCGCGTGTCACGCAATGTTGCGAGCGCTCGCGCTGGCCGCGCTGGCGCTGGAGCGCGCGCATGCCTTCGGCGACGTGCGCGAGCTGAACGACGAGACCTTCGACAGCGTCGTCGACGGGTCCGCGCACGTGCTCGTGGAGTTTTACAAGCCGGATTGCGGCCACTGCCAGACCATGGAGCCCGAGTTCTACAAGACCGCCGAGGCCCTCGAGTTCGAGAGCGACGTCATCCTCGCGCGCGTCGACACGGAGGAATCGCCCAAGGTCGGCAAGCGCTTCGCCATCGACGGCCACCCGATCTTCCGCTGGTTCAAGAAGGGCGGCGTCGCCGACGACAAGTTCTACTTCGTGCACTACAGCGGCCGCATGGCGAACACGTTCCTGAAGATGATCGGCGAGCGCACGGGCGGCGAGTACCCGAAGCTCGACATCGAGGTGTCCAAGGTGCGCAAGATCAAGTCCGACGACTTCGAGAGCGTCGTCCTCGACCCCGCGAGGCACACGCTCTGCGCCATGTACACGCCCTGGACGGAGTCCAAGTTCGTCGTCGAGGCCCTCGACGGCGTCGCGAAGATCGCGTCCATGGCCGGCGCGAACGTCGACGTCGTCAAGATGGGCATCGACCGCGTCTACGAGCGCGACGTCGCCGACAAGTACGACTGCAAGGGCTACCCGTGCTACTTCCTCTTCAAGGCCGGCGCGCCGGCCGACGCGACGCCCGTGCGCTACGAGGGCGCCGACGACGAGGTCGAGCGCTTCGTCGAGTTCGTCAACAAGGAGACGGGGCTGGACCTCGATCCCCTGGCGACGACGCGCAAGGTCGAGATCGGCCGCGTCGCCAAGCTCGACGCGCTCCTCGGCGGCGACGACGCCGCGGCGACGCTCGAGGCCGCCGCCGCCTACCTCCCGGCGGACCAGGAGGCCTACGGCGCCTACTACGTCAAGGTCGCGAAGAAGCTGGCGGACGGCGAGGCGCCGTCGTACCTCGCGGACGAGATCGCGCGCATCGCCAAGCTCCTCAAGGACACGAGCCTGTCCTCGGCGAAGCGGAAGGACTTCTCCGCGCGCAAGAACATCCTCAACGCCTTCGCCGTCGCCGCGACGGCCGCCAAGGCCCACGGCGGGGAGCTCTGAGGGCAGTTTTGGGTTTTTAATGCGCGCTCGAGGTTAGCTTACGAAAAGTCAGAGAGAAACTCATAGAGGAGGTAGTCAACGGCCTCGCAGCTGGCCCGGAGGCTGCCCTTGACGGCGTCGGACGTGGCGTGTGTCGGCCGCCTCGCGCAAATCGCCGCCCGATGTAAAGCGCAGCGGGCTGAGTACTTGCGCGCGGCCAAGCACTCGGCGCGGTGCCCACTCCGCCAGTGCGCTTTCTGGCAATCGCGCGAACAATAACGCACCCACTGGCAGCCCGCGCAGACTTGGAAAGGAGGCTGCACGCAGCTCGCGACGCCTTCGCAGTATGCGCACGTGCGACGGATGCATTCCCTCCGAAGGACGCGAGGGTGATTTTCGAAGAGCTGGACGAGATGGGCGCAGTCGCCGCCCCGCGACCGCGCCAGATCGAGCGGCGTCGACGCGTCGAGTTCGCAGACGAGCGTCGGGTCGGCGCCGTATCGGAGCAGAACGCGAGCGACCTCCAGGTAGTCGGCCTTTGGCGATCTTCCAACCGCACCTATTGAGCCGCGCAGATACCCTGTCTCGAGTACGGCCATATTTAGCGCCGTACACTTGCCACGGCTTTGGTTAACCTTAGCGCCGCAACGAAGGAAAAGCTCGACGGTATGGGGGCAACCAGCACCAGCAGCGCAGCAGAGCGGTGACCAATCGCAGCGTGACATAGGACAATGGGTAGGTTCTCTAACAGCTACATCCATGATGTAAATGGCGGATCCCGTCACCACGCCCAGGTGATTGTCAAAATCCCCCGATTGCAGTCTCGCGATGATCATCTGGATCTTCTTCTGCCAAAGAACAAACTTCCCATCTTGGGTAAGGTGGCGCTTGTCCTCGAAGACCTCGACGAGCCAGCGCGCCAGGACGCGCTCATCGTCCGAGAAATTCCTGTGAGTGCAGGCCCCTGCGCGCGCCGCCATCGTGATCCAGGTCCGCAGCCCGCATTCAACGTCGAAGGTACCGCAGAAGATGCCGAAACGTTGCCTTTGCCGCTCGAGCAATGGCGGCCTGAGAACGCTTGCTCGCAGTCATGCTCCCCTTCCAGCTCGAGCAGCCCCGCGTACCCAAGGCCTTCGTCGGCTACGGCACGGGCCGCGCCACGGTGCTCCTCGTCGCCGAGTGCGTCGGCACGGGCGTGCTCGCGCTGCCCGGCGCATGCGCCGCCGTCGGAGCGCTGCTCTTCGTGCTGCTCGTCGCGGGCAACGCCGTGCTGCAGATCTACGCCGGGTCGTGCTGTCCTGGGCCGCGGAGGCGGCCGAGCGGCGCGCGTGCTACGCGGCCTGCAACTAGACGACGTCGGCCTTGCACCTCGACGACCGGCCGAACTCGCCGACGTCCGAGGACGACGTCGAGCCGTCGGAGACGAAGCGCCCCCGGGACCTCGTCGAGCTCGCGGGCGTCGTCGGCGCGGGCCGCGGCGCGCGCGCGGCCATCGCCGCGTGCTGGTACGGCAATTTGGTGCTCGTGCTCGCGCAGTACCTGGTCGTCATGGCGCGGTCGCTGCGCCTCGCCGTGGACCTGGGCTCCTGCGACGTCGTCGCGTCGCTGGGCCTGAGCTGCCTCGTGCTTTTGGCGTTGGCGCAGCTCCCGACGCTCGCGGCCATCGGCAAGGGCGCCGCGCAGGCGTCGCTCGCGGCCGTCGTCGCCATCCTAGCGCTCGCCGTCGCCGCGACGCCCGCGCGGCCGCCGCGGGCGCTCCCGGCCGACGACGCGACGCCCCTGTCGGTCTTCGCGGCGGCGTCGGCGCTGACTTTCGCCATGTCGACGACGAAGCTCTTCCTCAACGTGCGCCTCGAGATGTCGCGACCGGAGCACTCGCGCGTCGCGCTCGTGCGGGGCGTCGCGGCCTTCACGGCGCTCTACGTCGCCGTCGCGCTGGGCACGGGCCGGGACCCGCCGCCGTTCCTGCTCGACGCGCTGCCGCCGCGGCCCCGGCGCCTCGCGGCGGCGCTGCTGTTTTGCCACGTGGCCGTGTCGTTCGCGATGAACCAGCAGGTCCTCGCGAAGACCGTCGAGCGCGCGCTCGGCCGCGGCGACCTCGAGGGTGTTAGGTGGACGGCGCTGACCACAGCCCTGACGGCTCTAAGCCTGATCATCGCGCTGGCGCTGCCCGTGTTCTCCGACCTCGTCGCGTTGATCGGCGCGCTGACGTCCGGGCCCCTGACCTTCGCGATCCCGGCGATCTGCTACCGGCTCGCGACGCGCGACGGGTCCCACGCCGCGGGCGTCGCCTTCCTCGTCGCGGCGACGGCGGCCCTCGTCTGCCTGGGCACCGCGGGCGCGCTCGGCGAGATCGCGGACCACGGCGAGAAGCGCGCCGCCCGCGGCGGCGCGCGCGGCTTCTTCTGCGACGATCTGCGCTAACCATTTTTTTACTCGAGCGTCGTATAGCCCACGGCGACGATGTTCGCCTGGACCGCGGCGTCCGTCGCGGCCGTCGTCGCGCCCGCGACCATGAAGCCCTCGTAGAAGTTGCCGAGCGCGTCGTTGCTCTCGTCGCCGCCGGTGGCGAGGATGATCGCGCCCTGCTTGTGCATCGGTTGATACGATGGCGTGTAGGTCGCGTTCTTGTGGCGTTCGCACGTGCCGGCGATCTTGCAGTCCGGCCGCGGGCCGTCGTACATCGTCGCGAGCTCGCCCCGCGTCGCGTCGCCGCCCTTGAGGACGAAGCCGTCTTCGCGGCCGCCGAGGTAGAGCGAGACAAACGGGTAGGGGAGCGGCTTGTTCCGCGGGTTCGTCTTCGTCGCGTTCCCGCCTCCGTAGTACATGCCCGCTTCGAGGTCCGCGCCGACCCAGGGGCCGTCGCCGTCGCCCGAGTTGCCCATCCATCTGGCATCTCCAAAGTAGATGGCCTCCATCGCGCCGGCGCCGTCGCTGCGATTCTTCGCGACGACCGAGTTCTCGCTATTTCCGTAGTCGAAGCAGCAGCCGCCGCCGCCCTTCTGGCGGCGCGTGCCCGACATGACCGCGAAGAGACTCTCTTCTTCGTTGCCGGTGGCGACGCCCGTCGTGTCGTCGCAGTGGTACCCGTACCCTTGGTCGAACCACATGCCGTAGACGGGCACGCCGGCGCCGACGAGGATCGGATGGCGCGACGCGTTCACGAGCTTGTGGCGCTGGTAGAGGTGGTTGCCCATCGGGCTCTGGTCGTAGACCTTGCTGATGACGCAGTCGAGCTCGGCGCAGAACTCGTCGTGAGCGGTGGCGTTCGCGAACCCGCTCGCGAGGACGCCGACATCGCTCGAGGCCCCATCGGAGCTGCGAGTCACTTCGTAGAGCGGGCCATCCATGGCAGCGAACAGCGCGCGCACGGTCGAGTGCGCGGCGACGCACGGGTTGCCGGCCTCGCCCGTGATGTCGCACGGGCCCGGGGCCACAGCTGCGACCACTGCGAGCAGCGCAGAGGGCAGCATCTCCATCGAACCGGAAGAATCGGTTCAACCAATTGGGTTCAACTGCTTCAACGACTCCACAAAAAGAGGTCGCTTGTCTCGGTGGCCCTGCAATTTTGTCGCGGCGCGCGTCGCGTCGCCGCCCAGCGATGCGCCTCCTGGCGCTGCTCGCGCTCGTCGCGCACGCGGCTGCGCGGCCGCGGGGCTACTGGCGCGCCGTCGCGCAGGAGCTGCGCAACTACTGCGAGTGCCGGTCCGCCGAGGTCGGCGTCGCCGGCGACGCGGCGCGCGCGGGCCTCGGCCCGGCGCTCTTCGCGCCCGGCAGCTGCCGCGTGTCGCGGCGCGCCCTGGTCGACTACGCCAAGGCGCCGGGCCGGCTCACGGTCGTCGTCATGGCCTACCTGCCGGAGCAGAACGGGCGATTGAACAAGCTCGTGTGCTCCTACGCGAAGAGCGAGATGATCCGGAAGGTGCTGCTGCTCTGGAACGGGCCCCACGACAACGTGCCGAACACGACCTGCGCCCACGGCTGGCGGAGCCAGCAGGAGGGCTTCCACTACGCGTCGCTGACGTCGCCGAAGCGCGAGGGCCGGCGGGGTCCCGAGGCGGAGCTCGAGGTCGTCGTCGAGCGGAAGAACACGCTGCTCAACCGCTACCGCCACGGGCGGCGCTGCGCGACGGAGGCCGTGCTCCTCCAGGACGACGACATCTTCCACCACCGCGAGACGCTCGAGGCCTTTAGCTGGATGCACGCGGCGGCGCCGGCGCAGGTCCTCGGCACGTACCCGGAGCGCGACTGGCAGGTCAACGCGGAGACGGGCGAGTACGCCTACGTCTTCCACCCGCAGAAGACGAAGTCGAAGCAGTACAGCTTCCTGCTCGGGCAGACGTCCGTCGTCGGCCGCGACACGCTCAGCGACTTCCTCTCGGGCGCGCCGCGGCAGGCGCTCGCCTACATCGTCTCCCACAAGCCGACCTGCGAGGACCTGACCTTGCACTACTTCAACAGCAACCGGAGCGGCCTGCCGCCCGTCGTCTTCAGCGACCTCAAGCCGGACCAGATCATGGGCGCGCGCGGCCACCAGATGCACACGTCCGTGAGCCGCCGGGCCTGGAACAAGCGCCGCGAGCGCTGCCTCAACCGCCTCGCCGCCGACTTCTCCCGCATGCCCCTCGTCAAGTCCGCGTGCCGCGTCCGCGGCAACATCACGCGCGTGCTCCAGCGCGTCGCCGCGGGCGAGCGCGGCCTCTGGAAGCACACGAACGCCGCCGAGCGGGACCGCGACGCCCTCGACGTCGACCCCTGGGACGGCCAAGAGGGCCCGGCATAGATGCTTTATTAGTAGTTGACCAAGTTATTGAAGGCTTCTTGAAGCCTCCTTGATCTTGTTGCACATCGAGCTAAGGACACAATGTCATGGCCGAGTAGGCGTGCGGTGCCGGTAACCTGCAAAACTGTAGGCGCGCGGTGCCGCTAGCCTGCAAAACTGACTGCATTGATCGTCGTCGACGTCTCTTTGAGCGCCACCAAGCAGCGCGCGCGCGCGAGCCTCGCATGGCCGTCGAGCTGGGCCCGGCGTTCGCCGCGTCGCTGCCGCCCGCGGCGACGAGCGCGGCGGCGTTCACGCGGCGCCTGAGCGACGGCGAGCGCGACGGCGAGGATCCCAGCGAAGCGACGGTGGCGTGGTGCGCGGCGACGCTCGAGCGGGAGGGCGTCTGCGTGCTGGAGAACGTCGTGAGCGTTCCCCGCGCGGACGAGCTCCACGAGGCCTGGGCGGCGTCCTGGGCGGCGCTCGCGAAGATCTACGAGCCGTGCGCGGCCATGTACGACGGGCGCTACTCCGGCGTCGCGCCGCGCTTCGCGGAGCTCGCGCCGCGCGGGCCGCGGCGCGTGGCCATGTCGACGTTCTCGTCGCCGGCGACGGTGGCCAACGGGGTGTTGCGCGCGGTCATGCGGCGGTCCCTCGGCGACGACGCGACGTGCTTCGTCGAGAACACGATCGTGTCGCTGCCCGGGTCGCGGGACCAGCGGATCCACTGCGACGCCGGCCACCTCTTCGACCCCGCCGACGTCGGCGTGCTCCCCGCGCACCACCACAGCTGCTTCCTGGCGCTCGTCGACCAGACCGCGGCCACGGGCAACACGGCCTTCGCGCCGGGGACGCACCGGAGCGAGGCCGGCGGCCACGAGTCGAAGCGGCCGGGGCGGCCGTTCCCGCCGGACGCCGCGTTCGTCGACGCGTACCTCGAGCGCGGCGCGTGCGCCATCTTCGACTCGCGCCTCTACCACCGGGGGCGCGGGAACGCGTCGGCGGCGCCCCGGCCCATCTACGGCCTCATGTGGGCCAAGCCCTGGTTCGCCGCCGAGAGCTACTACGGCGACGACTCCGTCCACGCCGGCGAGGGCCCGGCGCGCGCCGGCGCGCTCACGCCCTGGCGCGACCGCGTCGCCGCCGCCGGCGGCGACGAGGACGCCGTCGCGGCGTTCGTCGGCGGCGCCCACGCGGGCCAGCTCGCCGCGCTCGGCGTGCCGAGTGGGCTCTACGGCGAGCTCCGGGCGGCGATCCGCGGCGGCGGCGGGCCGGGCGGCGCGTGGCCGCCCAACGACGCGGGCGCCTCGCTCCAGATCGGCGTCGACGCCCGCGGCGCCGTCGGCGTCTACGCGACGCGCGACCTCGGCGCGTTCGGCGACGTCTTCCGCGTCGACCACGCGTGGACGTTCGGCGGCGGCGACGCCTTCGTCGAAGCCGCGATGGCCGCGGACGCGTCCGTCGCGGCCTACGTCGCCGCGACGCTCTGGCCCGCGGCGGGCGGCCGCGGCGCCTTCGGCGCGGACGAAATCCGCGACGCCATGGGGGACAAGGTCCAGACGTACTACGTCGCGGGCGCCGCCGGGGAGCCGCCGGCCGCGGCCCACTTCCTCCCCGACGTCGTCGGCGCCAACCTCGGCGAGGCGGCCCTCGACGGCGAGCCGAACGCGTGCCTCTCGGGCGCCTTCCTCGACGCGCCCGACGCGGCCTGCTCCTTCCTCTGGCTCTGCCGCGACGTCGACGCGGGCGAGGAGCTCCTCCTCCCCCACGGCACGCTCGACTCCATGGTCGACGCCTACCGTCGCACGCGCGCGCACTAGGGGTGTTGCATCCACGTTGAGTCTAAGCCGCCGAATTTTATCACGTCCCCGCCGCGTGCCGCACGGACCGCAGCGTCGCGAGGCTGATGTCGTAGAGCGGCAGGAGCACGCCCGCGACCGGACCCGCGCGGAGCAGGTTGAACGTGACCCCAGAGTACAGCCGTCGGACGCCGCCCTCGCGGAGGAGCCGCGCGGCGACCTGCCGCGCGTTCTGCGCGTCCGGCGCGCCGGGCAGCTGCGCCTGCACGATCGTCTTCACGACGTCCATCGGATAGATGATCGCCCAGCTCAGGATGCCCGCCGCGCCGCCGGCGACAGTCCGTTTCCAGAGCGCGAGGTCGCGCTCCGAGCCCGCGCCGACGTAGTGCTTCTTGATCAGCGCGAAGAAGAGCATGTAGAATCCCCGGCCGCTCTCCATGGTCGCGTTGAGCCCGAGGCCTTTGAGCGCGCCGCCGCGCGCGACCGTCTCTCTCACGACGGACGCGAGGCCCACGCGGCCGCCCGGCGCGAAGCCGCTTTGCTGGAGGATCTTCACGCGGCTGATGGCGCAGGTCATGGGGCTGATGGCGAGGCCGCCGAGCGCGCCGGCGAGGAAGACCGAGCCGAGCGGCGCCTCGCAGTCCGTCGCGGCGTCGCCGTGCGACCGCCGCACGAAGTCGTAGACGGCGAAGTTCACCGACTGGACCGCACCGGAGGTGATCACCGGTCCGGCTACTCCCCGCATGAGCGGCGCGGCGGCTTTCGTGTGGCCGAGCTGCGTGCGCACTTTCAGCGTGTCCAGCGGGAAGCCGATGACCTGGCCGATGGCGCCGGCGATGAGGCCCGCCGCCGCCGCCTCGCTCGCGCCGTAGCGCTCGTCGCAGCTGCGGCGCCGCGGCAGCAGCGGCTTCGCGCTCATTTGCGCGATCTCTGCGGCGGCTTGCGATCTCTGCGGCGGCACGGCGGTGCAGAGCGCGCGAGCGCAGCAGTGGCGTGCGATCTCACGCAACAACGGCGTGCGATCTCACGCAGCAGCGGCGCGATCTCACGCAGCAGCGGTTTGCGATCTCACGCAGCAGCGGCTTGCGATCTCCCACGCGCTCATCGACTTGCGGCGACGGCAGCTCGACGTCAACTGGGCTTCAACTTGCGATTCAAGAATCCCGAAAAGGACGTCGCCGCGGTCTTAAAGGGAGACCATCCGGGCGGGTGCAGAGTGGTTAGCACACTCATCCTCGCACGCGCGGGCGACGCCCTTCGCGCCGGACCGGCCGAAAGACGCCGGGCGCTCAGTTCGTCTTCTTCTTGCCGCCGCCGCCGAAGCCGGACGTGGCGATGATGAGGAGGCAGAGCGGAATCAGGGCGACGGGCGCCATCTCCTCGGGCTTGATCTCCGGCGGGTCGATCTCGTTGTGCGCGAAGGCGACGAGGGCCATGCCGGGCAGGGACGCGAGGAAAAGGAGAAAGCCGATGCCGCTGCTCCGAAGGACGAAGTTGTTGAGCAGCGGCATGATCATGAGCACGCCGGACGCGACCAGGAAGTGGTCGAGGTGCTCCGCGGGGATGAACTTGGGGCTCACCGTCGCGAGCTTCTCGCTGCGGGCGCGGGCGCGGCGTTCGACGGCGCGCGCGCCGCGCGGGGCAGCCCCGGACGCCGGACGCGCGCGCGAAGCGCATCTCGGCGGGCAGCGGCGCGAGCTCGGCCTTGTCCACGAGCTTCGTCTGCAGCAGGATCATCGTGCCGGGGACGGCGAGCGCCTATGTGGGAAGTCGAGCGCACCGTCGAGCGGCATCGATCGGAAATTCGTCGGACGACGATCGCTTCGTGCGATCGCCGTGGGACGCTGGCCGGCGCCGCCGTGATGAGCTTGGAGAGGATCGTGAAGAGGCCCATGCTCAGAAATCACAGTTCCCCCGCGGCTCCGGCCGTGTGGCTCCGGCGGCGCGCAGAACGGGCTGCGTATTCACCATCCGAATACGCTCGTGAGTGAAGTTGGCACCATCGACCCCGGTTCCTTACGCGGCCTCGTAGACGAGGTCCTCGCAGGACGCGAGCCGCGCGACGGCGGGCCTGCGGCCCCAGGCCGCGCGCCAGAAGCAGACGGTCTGGGACATGGTCGACCCCGGCGTGGGCCAGAAGGACGCCGCGCGCGCGGCGAGGAGGAGCATGTCGAGGAGCACGGGCGCGACCTCGGCCCTGAGCGCGCGCCGCCGGCCCTCGCGCCCCCCTTTGAAGGCGCCCGAGTAGAGCGCCTCGCCGAGGCCCGTGTTGAACATGGCGCTGGGCCCGCGGTAGGTCGTCGCCGTCTCCGAGGGCGGCGCGTCGGACGCGACGACGCGGCCGTGCGCGCGCCACCGCGCGTACGCGGAGCGGTTGAAGCGGTCGCTCGCGAGGAGCAGGGCCGGGTTCGCTTCGAAGCCGGCCTCGGCGTCGGCGGCGAGGAGCGCGTCCGGGAGCAGCGCGCCGCGGCACACGGCGTCGTAGTACGCGCGGCCCGCGCGGCCGCGGGCGTCGGCGTAGTACGCGGCCGCGATGCGCGCCGCGGCGCTGAAGCACATCTTGGACACGGGCTCCGCCAGCACCGTCGTCTCCAGGCGCTGGTGGTGGCCCGCGACGGCCGCCGCGGCCACCGCGGGCGCCCACGCGGCCGCGGCCGCGCGGAGCTCCGGCGTCGGCGCGAGCTGCGCGTAGCCGCAGAGCGCGGGCTCGTCGTCGACGGCGTACAAGCCCGGCGACCGCGTTTTCCGATGTTGGCCGCCGGCCCGCGCGCCGCGCCACGACGAACCGGGCCACGCGGCGTCCGCGGCGTCCGCCTGGCCGTCGCAGACGCCGCCGCAGTAGTACGCGTCCGCGCAGGAGAGCCGCACGGTCGCGTTGGCGAAGTTTCCGCTCCGCGGCGGCCAGGGCGCGTCGCGGTGCGCGACGACGACGTCGGCGCCGCCGGCCGCGAGCCAGTCGACGTCGAGGACCGCGTCCGCGAACAACTCCCAACTGCCCGCGAGGACGACCGTCGCGTCGGCGCGCCGCGCGAAGGCCAGCGCGTTCGCGAGGCAGCGCAGGCGGTTGTTCAAGAGGCCGAACTTGCCCCAGAGCTCGAGGAAGCGCGGCGGCGCCGCCGGGCGCGGCTGCGTGCGCCGCTCGAAGCGCGCGCCCTCGGTCCAGCGCTTCCCGGCCCCGCGGGCGTGGGCGGCGAAGGACGCCGACGACCGCGCGTGGCAGCGCGCGTCGAGCTTCGTGCGGTCGAGGGCCGTCGCCGAGAGCAGCGGCGTCGATGCGACGATGGGCAGCGCGAGCAACGCGGCGAGGAGGCTGCCCATGCTCCGCTCAGCCGCCGCTCGAGGTAAACCAAGTTTCTTGAACCGCGTCGGTGGATGGTTGCGGCGAGAAAAAGTGTGATGACGATGTCGACAGTCTGAGTGAACGACAGCGCACCACACAGCAACGATGTGCAAGCACGAGTCGCCGCTCAAGCTCGCGCAGAATGACGACGACGCGACCTGGGCCGAGGCGCGCTCGTCGTGGCTCTCGCAGCTCACCTTTAGCTACGTGACGCCGCTCCTCGTCCGCGGCGCGAAGACGACGCTCAACCCCGCGGACCTCCCGCGCGTCTCCGCCGCCGAGTCCGTCGACGGCCTGCGGTCCGCGGCGTCGACGTTCCAGGACCGCATGCGGTCGAGCTGCCGGCGCCTCGTCGTCGCCGCGGGGCTCTGGCAGTTCGTCGTGTCCACGGGCCAGATCCTCCAGCCGCTCGTGCTCCGCGCGCTCGTCGTCGCCGTGTCCGCCGAGGACCCCGCGGCGGCGCGGGCCCGGGGCCTGCGCGTCGTCGCCATGATCTTCGCGCTCGTCACCGTCGCCATGTTCGCGCAGCAGCGCCAGCTCCACCTGTCGACGCGCTGCGGCATGCGGCTCCGCGCGCTCGCCATCGCCGAGGTCTACGGCGCCGCCGTGTCGCGCCCCATGGAGGCGGGCGCGAGCGGCGGCGAGGTCGCGACGCTGGTGGGCGTCGACGCGACGAAGCTCTTCGAGGCGTCGCTCGACGTGCACCTCATCTGGGCCGCGCCGCTGCAGATCGTCGTCGTGTCCTGCCTCCTCGTCTACTTTGTGGGCGGCGCCGCGGCCGTCGCCGTCGGCGTCGCCTGCCTCGCCTGCATCGTGCCCCTCGGCAAGGCGCTCCAGCGGAAGATGCTCGCCATCCGCTCGAGGCGCATGCCCGTGACGGACAGGCGCGTCTCCGAGGTGAGCGAGGTGCTCTGCGGCATCCGCGTGTCGAAGCTGAACGGCTGGGAGGGCCTCTGGGAGAAGCGGTGGCGCGCGCTGCGCCGGGAGGAGCTGGGCCACACGCGGCGCGAGATGTTCGTCTACGGGCTCGCGATGCTCCTGATGGTCACGTCGCCCGTCGTCGCGACGATCGCGCTCTTCACGACGCACATGCTCTCCGACGGCGACGCGCGGCTCTCGCCCGCGGACGCCTTCACGGTGCTGGCGTTGATCGGCGCGCTGCGGTTCCCGATCAACAAGCTCGGCACGCTCCTCGGCCAGATGGCCGCCGCGCGCAAGAGCTGGGAGCGCCTCGCGGCCTTCGTGTCGCCGTCGGAGAAGCCGAGGGTCGCCGGGCGCCGCGCGCTCGTCGACGACGAGGCGCTCGCGGTGGAGCGGGGCGCCTTCAAGTACGCCGGCGCGGACTTCGCCGTCGGCGGGACGCGGCGCCTCGACCTGACCTTGAACGTCGGCGAGCTCTGCGCCGTCGTCGGGCCCGTGGGCTGCGGCAAGTCGACGCTCGTCGACGGCCTGCTCGGCGACGCGGCGCCCCTCGACGGCGCCGTCTCCGTGTCGCTCGAGCGGTCGCGGCTCGCGCTCGCGTCGCAGCGGCCGCGCGTGCTCAACGACACGCTCCGGCGCAACGTGACCAAGTTCGGGCGCGAGGCGACGGTCCTCGGCGGCGACGACGCCGACGGCCGCTACGCGGCGGCGCTGACGGCGGCGCAGCTCGACGCGGACGTCGCCCGGCTCCCCGACGGCGACGCGACGGAGATCGGCGAGCGCGGCGTGACGCTGTCCGGCGGCCAGAAGGCGCGCGTGGCCATCGCGCGCTGCGTCTACGCGCGGCCCCGCGTCGCCGTGCTCGACGACCCGCTGTCGGCGCTCGACGCGTCGACGGCCGCGCGCTGCTTCGACGCGCTGTTCAAGCCCGGGTCCGGCGCGCTCCGCGAGACCGCGGCGACGGTGCTCGTGACGCACGGCACGCACTTCCTCCACCGCGCGGACAAGGTCGTCGTGCTCGACGCCGACGGCGACGTCGCCTTCGCGGGCACGTGGGCCGCGGCGGCGGCCGCGGCCGCGGAGCGGCCCGACGACCCGGCCCTCGCGCCCATCGTCGCGGCCGCCAGGGAGGCCGACGCGCCCGAGGCCGTCGAGGAGGACGCGCCCGCGGCGGCCCTGGACGAGGTCGTCGTCGCGACGGCCGCCGGCAAGCCCCGGGCGCTGATGACCAAGGAGGCGCGCGAGGAGGGCGTCGCGTCCGCGGCGACGTGGTGGACGTGGGCCAAGGCCGCCGGCGGCGTGCCGTTCCTCGCGACCCAGTTCGCCACGCTGGCCCTCGACCGCGCGTGCTACGTCGCCACGGAGTGGTGGCTCGCGCGCTGGGCGGACTCGAAACACGATTCGTGCGACGTCCTCGGCCTCGCGACGTTCCCGTCCCAGGACGACGGCGGGCTGACGGGCGCGCGGCGCTGGGCGGAGGTCTACGTCGTCCTCGGCGTGTTCAGCGTCATCTTCTGCTTCGCGCGCACGCAGTGGGGGTTCCGCGGGGGCGTCCTCGCCGCGGGGAGGCTCTACGACGGCGTCTCCGCGCGGGTCCTCCGCGCGCCCATGGCCTACTTCGACACGGTGCCCATGGGCCGCGTCGTCAACCGCTTCACCTACGACACGGAGCAGATCGACGTCGTCCTCACGCAGAAGGCCGTCATGGCGATGATCTCCATGGGCTGGGCCATTACGGGGGTGGTCCTCATGATGGGCCTCACGAAGGGCCTGCTGTTCCCCGGGTTGGTGGTCGCCTTCGGCACCTACTACAAGCTGCAGAAGTTCTACCGGCGGTCCGCCGTCGACTTGCAGCGGTTGGACGCCGTGTCGCGGTCGCCGCTCCAGCAGCTCGTCTCCGAGGGCGTCGACGCCGCGGCGACGATCCGCGCGTTCGGCCGCGGCGCCGACTTCGTCGACACCTTCGAGCGGGCCGTGGACTCCAACACGGAGGCGCTGCTGTGCTGGACGGCGGCGCAGCGCTGGGTGGGGCTGCGCTTCGACGCGTGCGCGGCCGTCGTCGCCGTCGCCGCGGGCGTGCTCATCTGCTTCCGCCACGACGTCGGGTTGAGCCCCGCGTTCGCGGGGCTGCTCATGTCGTGGTCGTTCCACCAGGCGATCACGTTCATGTACCTGTGCACGACCTTCGCCGAGGCGGAGATGGCGCTCACGTCCGTGGAGCGCGTCACGGAAGCGACGCCGCGGGAGGCGGACGACGGCGTCGCCGCGCCGCCGGAGGGCTGGCCCGCGAAGGGGAAGGTCGAGTTCGCCGACGTGACGCTCCGCTACCGGCCGGGCCTGCCGCCGGCGCTCAAGCATTTGACATTGACCGTGGACGCGGGCGCGAACCTCGGCGTCGTGGGGCGGACGGGCGCGGGCAAGTCGACGCTGGCCGTCGCGCTCTTCCGCCTCGCGCCCCTCGACGGGGGCCGCGTCCTCGTCGACGGCGTCGACCTCGCGTCGCTGAAGCTCGCGGACGCGCGGCAGCGCGCGGCGCAGATCATACCCCAGGACCCCGTGCTCTTCTCGGGCACGCTGCGGAATTGCTTGGACCCCTTTGGGACGCACGGCGACGGCGAGGTCGCGACGGCGCTGGGGCTGGTGCTGCGGGACCGCGCGCCGCCGCTGGACGCGGCGGTGGTCGACGGCGGCGCGAACTACTCCGTGGGGGAGCGCCAGCTGCTGGCCATCGCGCGCGCGCTGCTCCGCCGGCCCAAGGTTTTGGTGATGGACGAGGCGACGTCGAGCGTCGACGGCGGCACGGACGCGGAGATCCAGGCCATGCTCCGCGAGCTGCCGCAGCTCGCGGCGACGACGGTCATCTCCGTCGCGCACCGCCTGCACACCATCATCGACTACGACGCCATCGCGGTCCTCGACGACGGCGCCTGCGTCGAGCTCGGCTCGCCCCACGACCTCCTCCAGGACCCGGCGGGCTTCCTCTCGTCCCTCGTCGACGCGACGTCGCCGGAGACGGCCGCGGCGCTCCGCCGCACGGCGCAGAGCGCGTCGGACACGAACCTCAAGGATCTCGCGTGAGAGCGTAAGGACTGCAACAATACCTAGGTAGGGAAAACTTTGGCTCATGAGCAGCGAGCACTGCGTGATGGTGCCTCGCGCCCGGCAGTGAGCCCGCGCGCAAGCTCCTCGAAAACAGCAGCAATGGCCGAGCCGCGCGCGCTCATCGCGCTGCTCCTGCTCGCCATCGTGGTGCTCCACTTCTTCGTCGGCGAGCGCGCGCGCAAGCACGCCTTCTCGCGCGACCCGCCGCCGCGGCCGGCCGCGCGCTGGCGGCTGCGCCAGGCGCTGGTCGGCGACGAGGAGGAGGTGCTGCTCGAGCTCGTCTGCGCGCGCGACGGGCGGTCGCTCTACTGCGCCGGCGACGACGCGCGCTGCGTCGCCGACGACACCGTGCCGCTCTTCCGCCGCGCGTGGGCGCGTACTCCCAGCGGCGACCGCGGCGACGTCGCGCTGACGCAGACGGACGAGGCGGGCCGGCGCGTCCGCCTCGAGGCCCGCGACGGCCGCGTCGTCTGCGCGCCGGCGCTCGGCGACGACGACGCGGAGCAGGCGGCCGCGGGCGCCGCGTGGCGGTTCGCGAAGGCGCGCGGCCGCGCGGGCCTCGTCGCCGCGGCCTCCCGGCGCTTCGTCGACGTCGTCGACGTCGACAAGTCGCGGGGCCACCTCCTGCTGGCGGCGTCGCCGTCGGCGCCCTTCGCGCCGCGCCGCGTCGACGCGGGCGAGGCCGCGGCGTCCGTCGACGCGCACGACGCGGAGGTCGCGGCGGCGCGCGCCGACGACGCGGCCGCGCGCCTGGAGCTGCGGCGGCGCTTCGAGGCCAGTTGGAACGGCGAGACGCGCGTCATCGCCATGGCGCTCTACGGCGCCGACGACAAGTACTGCGAGGGCGCCTTGCGGAACAGCGAGCTCGTCGACGCGTACTTTCCGACGTGGCGGCTCCGCGTCTACGCGGACGCCGACTCCGTCCCGCGGCGCGTGCTCGACGCGCTGGAGCGCAACGGCGCGGACGTGCGCGCCGCGCCCTTCGGGTTCGGCGCCGCCGAGGGCATGTTCCGCCGCTTCTCGGTGGCGGACGACCCGGCCGTCGACCGGTTCGTGGTCCGCGACAGCGACTCGCGCCTGAACCCGCGCGACGCGTTCGCCGTCGCGGCCTGGTGCGAGAGCGGCTGGGCCGTCCACAGCGTGCGGGACCACCCGAACCACGCGCGCTACCTCAACGGCGGCATGTGGGGCGCGACGAAGCGGTCGAGGGTCCACGGCGCGATCGCCGCGCTCGCGGCGGACTTCTCCGACCACGACTCCTACGGCGCGGACCTCGACTTTTTGGACGTCAAGGTGCTGCCGCTCGTGCTCCACGACATCCTCGCGCACGACGCGTACACCTGCGACTCCTTCCCGGGCTCGAAGCCCTTCCCGACGCGGCGGCCCTTCGACTTCCAGCACGTCGGCCAGGTCTTCGACGCGGACGGCAGGCCGCGGCTCGACGACGTCGACTCGTTCATCCGCGGCCGGCCCGTGCCGGCGAACTGCCGCGGCGACCCGGCGTGGACCTACGGCTAAACTCGGGCGTTAGCCTCGCGACCCGGCGGCGGCGCGGACGTGGTCCTCGCGGTCCTCGTGCACGTAGATCGTCGCGCCGCGCGCGTCCGCGCGGCGACGGAGATGCCCGCGCTCGTCGGCGCGTCGAACGCGGATTCCGAGCTGTCGACCTCGACTTCGTACGGAAAGCATCGAACCAGCTCCCCTTTCTGGAGGGTGACATGCACGTAGCTGACTCTCCCGCGCGTCCAATTTTTTCGGTGTTTCCCGTCGGTCAGGCTCGGGAATACGTCGGTCAGGCTCGGGAATACGCGAGTCGAGTCGCACTCCACGATGTCGCCGACGGCAAAACGGAGGGGCGCGCGGATGCAGGTGTCGTTGTCGAAGGGGGCGAAGACGAGCTCGCCGTCGTCCAATTTGACTTGGTAAGGGACCGTTTTACCCGCAGTCCAATTGCTTTCCTTGTAGTCGAGCGCGATCACGGTGCCAGCCTTCCAGGGGCATCGAGTTTCGTCGTCGCTTATCAAACAAAGGACGGAGTCGCCGACGGCGAAGCGGTACTTTCCGGCGCGCGGCGCGTTCGCTTCCGCGGCCTTCTTCTTCTTCTTGCCCCCGCGCCGCCGCGGCTTCTTCTTCCCGCCGCCGGGCCCGTCCGGCGCGTCCGCGTCGTCCGCGCCGCGCTCGTCCGGCTCCTCCATTTTTTCCAGGTTGGAATCCAGCCCGAGTCGTAGTGCCAGTTCCTCCTTCGAGCGCGCCGGCCCGGGCGAGGCGTTCGGCTCGATCGCCTGCTCGGCCGCCGCTTTCTTCTTCTCCTTTTTGTAACCTCTGTATTCGGCCAAGAGCCGCGCGCAGTCCGCCTTGTGCGTTTTCCAGTGTTCGCGCTGGCACGCCGCGCCGCAGTAAAATATACTTTTGCACTTTGCGCACGAGCTCAGGTTCTTCGGGGACCCGCACGTCGCGCAGACGCGCTCCTCGCGCCGGTCCGGCCGCGTGGACACGGTCTCGGTCAGCGCGAAGCCGCCCTCGACGCCGTTGACCTGCCGCGTCGTCGCGCGGCCCGGCGCGGCGGGGAAGGGCGCCGAGCCCCCGCCGCTCGTGAACTGCTTCGCGCCCTCCATGGCCGAGGCCTTGGAGCCGATGGCGTCGCGGACGCGCGCGCGGCACGCCTCGAGGTCGAACTCCGCCGGGTCGAAGGCGCCCGGGCGGACGTTCATGGCGTCGACGCGCTTCGAGCACGCGTCGCGGAGAGCGCGGGCCGCGGCGCGCTCCCGCGACTCGTCCGGCGGACGCCAGCCGGGGTCCAGCGATTTCACGAAGTCGTCGCGGTCGCACGGCACGCAGTAGAAGTCGCCGTCGTCGTCCTTGCGGACGCGGTAGGCCCACGCGCGGTCGCCGCCCCAGAAGGGACCTTGGACGACGACGGCGGCGCTCCACGTCGGCGTCCCGAAGCATTCCTTCGACTCGAAGAACGAGACGCGGTCGCCGACGGCGAAGCGCGGCGGGACGTCGCCGACGACGCCCTCGCAGGCGAGCCAGTGGTCCAGGACCTCCTCCTGGTACTTCGCGTTGCCGTCGCCGTCCTCGTTGGGGCACCGCATGGCGCCGCCCAGCACGGCGACCGCGCCCGTCGACGCGGACGCGTCGACGACCTCCTCCAACGTGATGACGTGCTCGAAGAAGTCCCCTAGGTCGTAGGTATACCCAATCCTGTCGCCCGGCTCCCGGAGGAGCTCGCCGAGCGTCGTCTCGCTCGGCTCGAGCGCGCCGACGATGAGGTGGCTCGCGTGCATCATGTCCACCGCGTTGCACTCGCCGAGGGGGCACCAGACCGCGCCCTCGGTGAAGTCCGTGTAGAAGTAGCCGTGGTAGTTCCGCGCCCAGCCCATGGCCGGGCCGAGGACGCGATCGTGCAGCTGCTGCAGGTTCAGCGCGCCGCTGACGCGGAGGCGCCGCCACACGGACGGCGCGAGCTCCTCGAAGCTGCTGCGGCGCCAGAACTCCGCGAGCGCGACGCGGACGACGAGGTCCCGGCCCTGCGCGGCCTCGTCCCGGCCCCGGGCGAGCGCGCCGCGCTTCCGCTCCACGAGGACGTTCACGAACTGCTGCTCGGGCGTCTCCCGGTCCATGTAGAGGAACTGCGTCGACATGCGCCGCATCATCGTCGCCATGCCGCCGCCCTCGTCGTCCTCGTCAGGCAGCCCCCACATCGTCGCCGTGCCCGTCGGCTCGTGCACCACGGGCTCGAACGTGTGCGGGTTCTGCCTGAACACGCGTCTGAGCCCCCGGCCCATGTCCTCGGGATGGAGGTCGAGGCGCCAGCCCGTCTGATCAAGTCGAGGTGCCGTTAAATCTTTCGTCGTCGGCACGAAGAAACCCCCCCCCCCCGCCATTCGTTCCTGAATACGTCGCTGCTGCGCTTCCCAGGGCTCCGCAGGTTGTTCGTCCTCGTCGCTGCTGCTCCCGATGTGCTCGAAGCGCGAGTAGTCGACCATGCCGCTAATCGATCGTCGCTCCCGAGGTACTTAGGCTGCTGCCGTCACTCCAGAGGCGAAGCGACCATAGCTGCCCGACTTTGAAACTTCAATGTCAGAGGTGCTGCGGCGCTCGAGGTGATTGAAAGCAACCCCTATGGACGCGCTGCACGCTTGGTTAGACGAAGGACGTCGCCTCCTCGACGCGCAGCGCGACGACGTGCCGGAGTCGGTCCGGACGGTGATCGGCGCCGCGATCGATCGATCGCGCGAGGCGATGGCGGCGCAGCACGACGGGCGGCCGAAGCGCCGCATCTCGCGCGCCGCGACGCAGACGGGCGCGACGCTGGCGAGCACCTTCCTCGACCCGAAGAGCCTGAGCGCTCTGGCCGCGTGCTCCCGAGCGATGAAGAAAATTGCGCGCGCCGAAACGCTGTGGAACGCGCACACCGCGCGGGAGTACCCGGAGGCCGCGACGCTCCGAACTCTGGGCGGCGTCGATGCTCTCGTGGGGCAGCGGGAGTACGCCCGGATGCGGCGGCTCTCGAACCCACCCCTGGACCTTTTCCTGCAACCCCCTCTGGGAATCGATGGGTATGTCGCGCTCGTCGTGATGAAGTATGGCGATGACATCATTATACCCGGACGGCTCTTCGAGATCACCTTAGGGACGGAACTCCGCGTTGACTCGTTTCTCATTGACGTCGGCGCGTTCTCACCACAAGCTGATGGAAGCTTCTTACTTGATGGACACAACGTCATCCTTGATGGTTTCAAATCTAATGAGGTCAGCGTGTCGGTATCTTGGGTGCGGAAACGCGATGGAAAATGCTTACATCTGGCTCGTGATGCCACTGTGAATTATTCAAACCTTGAACAAGCCGATACTTTCGTATTACTAGATTCACGTTCGGACGACTCAATCTTGCCACTCCCTGCGCTTTTAGTCGCAAGCACACCGAGTTTCGATTGGGCTTCCGTGATTGATTATACCGATTTCTTGCCGAAGGTATGTTTCGAGGAAGCCGTCCTCACTGAGTCCCCCTATGGCGACAATTTCCTTCGTCTCTCCCGCTTCGCGGCGATAGGGATAGAGTGGGTTCATCCAACCAACAATCACAACTTTTCTTGCCGAGCAGTCCTCGAAGCCCTGCACTTTAGTAAGGACTGGGCCTAATTCTACCGCAGCTTCCCAAATCAGCGTCGCACACCCAGGTGAAGAGGACTTGAAGGCTCATTGACTTTACAAACTGTGGCACCGACGCGATGAGCCGTCTCGCGGCCCAATCGCTGCGCCGTGCGCTGCAGCGCCAGGGCCTGCGAAGCTTCGAGATCACGCCAAATTCGGTCGAGGTGCTGGCGACGCCCCGCGACTTCTACGAGTCGCTGCTGACGGCGTGCCGCGGCGCGCGGTCGCGCATCTCGCTGTCGGCGCTCTACTGGGGCACGGGCGCGCTGGAGCAGGACCTCGCGGCCGCCGTCGAGGGCGCCATGGCCGCGCGGGACGCCAAAGTGACGGTCGTGCTCGACGCGGCGCGCGCGCGGCGCGCCGACGGCGCGGGCCGCACGTCCGTGAGCACGCTCGCGCGCGTCGCGGACCGCGGCGCCGCCGTGCGGCTCTTCGAGACGCCGCGCCTCGGCGGCGCGGCGCTGCAGCGCGCGCTGGACTGCGCGCCGCGGCCCCTGCGGGGCCTCGTCAACGAGATCCTGGGCGTGCACCACGTCAAGGTCTTCGCCGTCGACGACGTCGTCGTGCTGTCGTCCGCGAATTTGAGCGACGAGTACTTCTCGACGCGGCGGGACCGCTGCGTCGTCGTGCGCGACGCGCGCGTCGCCGCCTGGCACCACGACCTCGTCGCGATCCTGGCGGACGCGGACGCCGACTACGCGGCGCTCGCGGCGCGGCTCGCGAAACACTGCCGCCGGCCCGGCCCGGAGCCGCCGCGGCGCGTCGCGCCGCGGGCCGCCAAGGTCGGGCCGAGGAGCGCGCGCTGGACGCGGGCAAAACCCCGGAGCGTCCTCGTGCCGACGATGCAGCTGGGCAGCGCGGGCTTAGACCTGGAGTCGAAGGCGCTCGCGGCCGTCCTGGAGCCCCGCGGCTTCGACGCATTGGGCCTGGCGACGGCCTACGTGAACCCGCCCGAGGACGTCGCCGCGGCGCTCGCGGCGTCGGACGCGCCCGTCGACGTTTTGGTGCCGTCGGCGGAGACGCACGGCTTCGGGTCCGCGACCGGCGCGAAACGCGCCGTGCCCCTCGGCCACGCGGCGTGCGCGCGGGACCTCGCGGCGCGCCTCGGGCCCGCGGGGCGGCTCCGGGAGTGGGCCGGGCCGGGCACGTTCCACGGCAAGGGCGTCTGGCTCTTCGAGGAGGGCCGCGTCGCCGCGACGGTCCTCGGGTCGTCGAACTTCAACGCGCGGTCGCGGGACCGCGACCTCGAGCTCGGCGCCGTGCTCCTGCCCCGCGACGCGGGCCTCGGCCGCGCGCTCGCCGCGGAGTGGCGCGCGCTCGCCGCGGACGCGCGCGCGCCGGACGCCGCGGCGCCGCCCTGGTGGCTCGGCCCGCTCCGGCCGCTCCTGCGGCCGTTTTTGTAACGTTTTTTTTTTTGCGGTCGTCGCTTCCTAAGAGCGGGGATTTTTGCTGTCTTTGGAGGACGTCGCCGACTCTGGGCCGCTCCTCTAGGTCGCTCGCGTGCTAGCGTCGGGGGCTCTTACCGGGCTCGGGCCCGCGCGCGCGGCGCGCGCGTCCGCCGTCGCGCCGGCGAGCGTCGGAGGCGAGGCGGGGCTAGTCGGCGAGGTCCGGGAGGTCGATGAGCTTCGGTCGCTTGAGCACGGGGCACTTGCCGAAGGACACGGTGGAGAAGTCGTGGCGCGAGAACTTCTTCTTGCACGCGACGAGCTGCCGCTTCGCGTCGTCCTTGGCCGCGCGGTTGATGTGGTAGGAGATGGCCTTGCAGCAGGGGTAGAGCTCGACGTCCGTGTAGCCCGTGAGCCGCTCGCAGGCCCGGGGCCAGCCGTCGTCGCAGCCCTCGTCGGCGACGAACGCGAGGTGCGCGGCCGCCGCCGCGAGGAGCGACGGCTTGTACTCGAGCATCGCGTACTCCTGGAGCATGCGCTGCGCGAAGTACTCCGCGCGGTCCGCCGCGGACTTGGGCGCGCGGGCGACGCGCGCGAGGCGCACGAGCCAGTGGTGCGCGCTCGGCGACGAGATGTTCCAGTCGAGCTCGCGGAGGATCGTCATCTCCATGTCGAGCACGTCCTGCGCGTCGTACGCGTGGTCCGTGATGTAGGTGCAGTCGGCGACCTCGGGCGGGTAGATCTCCTCGTACTTGCTCGCGATGAAGAGCGCCGCGACGCCCAGCAGCTGGAGCTGGTTCCGGTCGATCTGCTTCGCGCTCAGGTAGCGGTCGATGATCTGCACCGTGAGGTAGATCGTCGGCTGGAGCATCTTGAACTTCAGGTGCACCTCGACGAGCCAGTCCACGAGGATGCCCCGCATCTTCGGGTTGATGTCCTGCTGGAACTCCATGTAGAGCTCCATGGGCCGCTTCTCCTCGGCGTCGCGGTAGTATTTGTACAAGTCGACGACGTAGTCCGTGACGGCCTGGGGGTCGTCGGACTCGTCCTTGTCGACGGCGTAGCGCACGTCCCGTTGTCGTTTCAACGCGGGGGCCTCGGCCTATGGTCGACGGAGGGTTTTTGGGGGCGTGTTTGGGGGCGTGGTTCGCGCGGAGAGGGGAGCGACGGTTCCGTTCAAAGCGCGCGGTTCGAACGCGGTTCGCGAGCGCGCGCGCGCGAGGAAAAATAGTGGACGCGGTCGTGGACCTCGCGCGCGGGCTCCTTCTTCGCGGCCGCTTTGCGCTTGCCTTTTCGCTGGTTGTCGACGGCGCCGAACGCTCGTCGCGCCGGAGCCTGGCTCGACGACGCCGCCGGCGCGTCGGCGCTGGCGTCCTGGTCCGCCGCCGCGTTGCGCTGGGCTCGCGTGAGGGGCATGGCGTCGTACGAGCTGTGTGGGTCACGCGCGTCGCGAGCTGTGTGGGTCACGCGCGTCGCGAGACGACGCGCCGCCACCAACGACAGTACTCGTTTGTCGATTGAATTGCTCGACCTTCAAAATGGGGGGTAACAAACTGGCGCTGGGTCGATGGTGAGGTTCACCAGCCCCACACGGACTTTCCCCCTCATAGCCCTTAACCCCACGCCTGCACGCAGCGTACCATCGAGCTAGTATCCAGCCAACGGTGCCCCCAGTCCTCGACATTTCAAACTCCCCTCCGGCAGTTGGCGTTTAAAACTACTGGCAAGCGCGAGATTCGAAACCACCTCATGATCATGATGACCAGGGCACTAGTGCAGGACACCACAGGACCCTCTAAGAAGACTGGCTCGGTTCGCCGAGGTACCCCGCGACCCCCCCTGGATAAGCGCACTCTAAGATGACTACTTACGCTGGCTCCTCCTCGTCGAACGCCGCGAGCTCCACCTTCAGCTCCGCCAAGATCCGCCGCTCGTCGTCCGTGAGGCCGTCGCCGTCGTCGAGGGGCGCGACGTCGACGGCGCGGAAGGCGTCGAGCTCGACGACCTCGCCCGTGTTCGGGTTCGTGTGGAGGCCGTCGGGGCTGCGGGGCGTGGGCGGGTTGAGCCAGTAGTCGCCCGGCGTGTGCAACCCGTCGAAGGTCACGCAGTCCCAGTCGTCCTCGAGCTCGCCGACGACGACGTCCGCGGCGTCGGCGAGGTCGTCGTCGTAGGACAGGCCGACGACGCGCATGCCCGCGGACCGGCCGGCGACGCAGGACGCGCGGTCCGCGGCGACGACGACGCAGCGCGCGGGCAGCGGCGCGCGCTCGGGCATCTGCCGGCCGCGGCCGAAGCCGTCGCTGCCGCCGAAGGCGTCGGGCGCGATCTGGACGCCCTCGCGCGCGAGCTGCAGCGCGAGCGGGCACGGCGCGGCCGGCGCGCCCTCGGGCCAGGGCGTCGCGGGGAGCGTCGACTCCGGCGCGCCGCCGCCATCCTCGACGAGCCAGACGGACGGCGTCCCCGCGGCCGCGGCCTCGGCGACGAGCCGCTCCGCGCCGGGCCGCGGCGCCGCGCCGTCGGCGTAGGCCTCGGCGCCGACGAAGAGCAGCAGCTCGGGCCGGTCCTGGTTGCGGAGCATCGTAATGCTACTGCTTCGCCGGATGCGCCGCGGCGACGGCAAAGCGCGGCGCGGCGCGCACCGGAGGCCGGCGCACGCGGCCGCGAGCGCGACGCTGCGGAGCAGCAGGCGGCTCGTGCTGCGAGTCATGCTGCGAGTCGCGCTGCGAATCATGCTGGTGAGCATCAAGCCTGATTCAACAAGGTTGACATTGTTGACGGCACTGGGGCTGCTTGCCTTTACGATGGTCGAGCTGTGCCCCCTTTCAGCAGCATGCAAACGCTGTCGATGATGCACCTGCTCCCGATCTTCTTCATCGCGAGCGCGCGCGCCGGCAGCTACCAGGGCGTCCGCCACATCTTCATCCGAAGGAACCGCAAGGCCGGCTCGAGCACGCTCGCCAAGTTTGTCCACGACTTCGTCAAAGTCGCCGAAGCCATGCGGCCGGGCCCGCCGCGGCTCGAGTACGGCATGGACGAGTTCAAGTGCATGCCCTGGAACTGCAAGCTGCAGAGCTCGACGTTCCTCGTGACGAACCTCCGCGATCCGATGACGCGGCTCGTGTCCGAGTATTGGTGGCGGAGCCAGGCGCCGGGCCAGACCTACAACGCGTCGACGGCGGCCATCTGGCGGCGGTGGATCGACGAGGGCTCCATCGGTGCGCCTCTCCGAAAAAGCTCCATGCCCACGCGCCCGCGCGCAGGCAGCCCGATCTCGAAATATCAGAGCGACCCCTACGTCAAGGCCTTCGCCGGCTCGTGCCGCGGCGGGACCTTCGGCGTCGCGGCCGGCGTCCGCGGCGAAGATGACGAACAAAACGACCACTCGGCAGGTCACGGCGGACTGCAACCACAACCACCGCAGCGACTGCGCGGCCTTTTCGCCCGCGCTCTGCGTCTGCAACAGGCGCAAGCACAACGACGCGTCGACGGCCGACGAGCTCCGCCGCGCGCTTGCGAACCTGCGGCGCTTCGACGCCATCGTCACGCTCGAGCACTTCCGGGACCCGCTGCTCGCGGCGTGGCTCGCGACGCTCCTCTTCAGAGACCGGCCGCCGGCCGCCGCGCTGCGGCAGCTCACGTTCAGTCCCGACGCCGTGAGCCGCAAGGACAACGGGGGCCACAAGCCCCGGGCGCCCGGCGCGCCGCCGGAGCTCGTCGCCGAGCTCGAGCGCAGGAACGCGCACGACCGCGTCCTCTACGACTACGCGCGCCGGCGCGTGACGCGGACGCTCGCGTGCTTCGGCAACTCGTCGCGCACCTACGCGGCCGCGACGTCCTGCTTCGCGGACACGCGCGACGACGGGCTCGGGGACTACGCGCTGCCGGCCGTCTAAGCCCGGATCCGACGCGCCGGCCCGTAACGTCGCGTCCGACGCCAGTTCCCCGGGCTGGACCAGTACGCGGACGCTCCACGTTTAGGTCGCGTCCTCGCTCGCGCGGATCTTCGCGGCCGCGAGGCGGAGCTTCGCGGCGACGTCCGCGCGCGCGTGCGCCGGGTCCTTGGAGATGGACGTCCAGAGCTCGCCGTGGGCCGGCTCGGCGGCGACGCAGCGCTGGAGCACGTCCTCCTGGTCCGATTCGACGCCGTCGGCGAGCTCGAAGGCGTAGTAGTGCGCCCACGCGTCGCCCAAATCCGGGTCGAGCGCGCACGCGCGCGTGAACCACTTGCGCGCCTTGGCGCGCTTCTGCTCGGCGACGAAGAGCTTGGACACGGCGACGATGACGTGGGCGTTGTTGTCGCAGCGCTTCAGCGCCTCGAGGGACTTGCCCTTGCGCGCGGGCCGCGGCGCCGCGAAGATCTCGTCGGCCCAGAGCTCGCCGCTCTCGGGGCACTCCTGGAGCGCCTTGGCCGACAGGTTCTCCGCGAGCTTGCGGTTGCCGTGGCGCCGCTCGAGGCGCACGGCGGCGAGCCAGAGGTCCGGCGTCTTGCCGTTCTTGAGGCGGGCCAACTCGAGGATCGACCGCGCCTTCGTCGCGCCGATGGCCGCCTCCTCGAGCGCGGCCGCCGCGCGCCAGAGCGCCGACGACTTCGGGCAGCGCCGCAGGCCCCGCGCGTAGAAGTCGCGCGCGGCCTTGACGTCGCCGAGGCGCGCGTCGGAGGCGACTTTTTCCTCTTGTTTCGACAGATCGCGCTCGCACGCCTGCCCGGCCATGAGGTAGAACTTCGCGAACGTCGCGTACTTGTCCAGGGCCTCGTCCAAGAGCCGCAGCTCCGCGTCGTAGTCGTGGCACTCGCGCTCCAGCAGCGCCGCCTTCATCCAGACGCGCGGGCTCGGCGCGCGGTCGCGCGCGCGCGCGAGGAGCACGCGCGCGCGGTCGCGCTCGTCGTTCTCCCACTCGAGCTTCACGGCCGCGAGCCAGACCTGCTCCGAGTCCGGGTTCGTCGCGAAGGCGTCCATGAGCGTCTGCCGCGCGCCCTCGACGTCGCCGCCGAGCCACTTCTCCTTGGCCGCCATGAGCCACAGCACCTCGGCCTGCGGGCAGTGCTGCACGGCCTTGCGGAGCGTCGCCTCGAGGAGCTCGCGCGTGCCGTGCTTCTTCTCCAGCGCGCAGGCCCGGAGCCAGATGGCCTTCTTGTTGGGGAAGGTCGCGAGCGCGTGCGCGTAGACCGCGCGCGCCGTCTCGACCGCGGACCGCGACGCGCACGCGTCCGCGTCGTCGAGCCACGTGCGCTTGCGGTCCTCGTTTTCGACGCCGATGCCGATGGTGTGGCGCACGATGGCGCCGCAGGTCAACGGCGCCGCCGCGAGCTCCGCGGCCTCGGCCTCCTTGAGCCACTGCTCGCGGTCGATGACGACCTGGTACTGCGCGAGCGACGCGACGGCCTTGGCGACGATGCGGTCCACGAGCTGGGCGCCGTTGCCGTGGGCCTCTTCGAGCTTCGCCGCCGTGAGCCAGATCGCCGGCTCCGTCGGGATGGCCTCGCGCGCCTGGTTGAGCACGCGCCGCGCGTTCTCGTACGTCTCGAGCCGCGCGAGCGCGAGCCACATGTCCACGGAGTGGGGCACGCACTCGACGGCGCGGCCGAGCATGATGCGCGCGTCCTCGACGTCCTCGAGCTCGATGGCCGTGCGCCAGAGCTTCACGGACGACGGCACCAATTCGAGCGCCTTCCGCAGCACCGTCTTCTTCCGGAGCGGGTCCGGCTCGAGCTCCGCGGCCCGCAGCCAGAGCTTTGTCGACGTCGGCAGCTTGCCCACGGCCAGCGCGAGCATGGACCGCGCGTTCGCGTCGCCGCTCTGCAGCCGCGCGGCCTCGAGCCAGACGTCCTCGGACTCGGGGCACGTGTCGCAGCCGAGCTTGATGAGCTTGCGCGCGGCGATGGCCTTGCCCGCGATCTCCTCGACGCGCGCCGCGGCGATCCAGCCCGGCGCGTGCTTCGGGTTCGTCGTCGTGACGGACTTCAAGAGCAGCCGCGCCTTCTTGATGTCGCCGACCTCGGACGCCGTGTTCACCTTGATGGAATTCAAATCCGTCAGGTAGCCCTTGGGGTCGACGACGGTCTGGCCCGTCACGGAGTCGCTCATCTTGTCGAGCTTGAGCCCGAGGACCGTGCCGCGCGCGGCCGCGAGGCCGGAGGTTAGCGACGACGACGTGCCCGCGACGGACGCGATGCCGCCCGCGAGCATGGGCGTGCGCCAGCCGCCGTGGGGCGTTCGAGCGCCGCCGCCCATGGGCGTCTCGAAGCCGCCGTACTGCTGCTGGCGCGCGTCGAGCGCGCCCGCGGCGCCGCCGGCCTCCGACGCGGACCGCATGGAGTCGAGCATGTTGTCGGTCATCGGCGTGATCTTGTCCGGCCGCTTCTTCTGTTTTAAGCGTAACGAGTGGTCGCCGATGTCCGGGATGCCCTCCCACTCCTCGCGGCTCACGTCCTTGAGCTCGCGCTTCAGGTCCGCGAACTGGTCGCTAATCTTGGGCCGCTCCTCGCGGTACTTCTTCATCGTCTCGATCAGCTTCTCCTCGCGCGCGCGCTTGCGCCGCGAGTCCATGCGCTCGTCGATGGCCTCGTAGATGCGGTCGGCCTCGACGTCGTCGTTCTCGTAGGACGCGTCGTTGAAGAGCGCGCCGCCGTAGCCCTCGAACTTGTCGAAGTTGCGCTCGTTGAGGTCCGCGGACTCGCGCGCGAGCTTCTCCTTGACGGGGTTCGTCTCGCCCTGCTCCACGGCCTTGTCGCCCATGCCCCGGCCCATGCCCGCGACGTAGCCGTCGGGCGCGGACCCGAAGTCCGTGCGCTCCTTGGCGAGGCCGCCGGGCGCCGCCGGGCCCGCGCCGACGTGCGACCCGTGGACGCCGCCCATCTCCCGCGCGGCCGGCGGCGGCATGGGCGCCTGCGGGCCCTGCTGGCCCGGGGGCAGCTGGCCGGGCAGCTGGCCCCCGCGGCCGGGCGCCTCGCGCGCCGGGCCGATGTCGCTCCGCGTCGTAAACCCGACGGCGCCGCGGCCCAGGCCCGCGACGTAGTTCGTCGGCTTGACGGTCGGCGGCACGCGCATGCCGGACGACATGGTTGCGTTTTTGGTTGTTTTGGGGGTGTCGGCGCGCTGCTCGCTCGCGCTCGGCCCCACACCTCGCGGGCGCGCGATTTTGGGTCAAAGATGCCGTCAAAGTTGCCGTTCTTCAACGAGAGCATTTGAACGTATGGGCGCGCCTTGAGACTGTTGAGCCTCGTCAAGCGCGATGACCACCTCTGCAATGAAACCAAAGACACCAGATGAACCCCGAACGGAGGAGATCATCAAGGCGTCGTCGATCCCGCTGCAGGGCGGCCGCGGCGTCGCCGCCGCCGCGTCGTGCAAGAACGACGTCTGCGTGCTCGTCGTCGACGCGACGGGCCCCTACAGCGTCGTCAAGGCCGTGATCACGTCGGAGAGCAACGACGGCGAGTGCTGCGAGGTGCAGCTCGGGTGCGCGACGTCCTGGGCCGTGTGCTGGCGCGGCGACGGCCTCGCGGCGGCCGTCGCGCTCACGGACGACGGCGCGGCCGAGGGCGAGCCGCGGCACCGCTGCGTCTTCGTGGCCAAGAGCGGCGGCGGCTACTTCTGCGTGGACACGAAGGCCGTCGAGTGCGCCGCGGGGCGGCGCCGCAAGCGCGTCGTCGGCGCGGCGTTCGCCGACGACGGGTCCTTGGCCGTCGCGTTCGACGACGGCACGCTGCGCGTCGCGACGTACAAGGTCGACCACGGCCGCGTCGTCGAGGCGCTGAGCTGCGCCTGCGACGCCGAGGGCGGCGAGGCGACGGCGCTCGCGGTCTGCGGCGGCGACCGCTTCGTCGTCGGCTACGGCGACGGCGGCTGCGCCGTCTTCCGCGCGGAGTTCTGCGACGTCATGGAGACGGCGGCCGTGACCAAGCTCATGGACCTGCCGCCCCTCGCCGGCGCCGGCGCCGTCACGGCGCTGGCGGGCTGCGCCCACTGGCTCTTCGTCGCGTCGGAAGGCGGACTCCGGTGGTGGGACGCGCCCACGGGCTCCCCGCTCGCGTCGTTCCGGTTGGCTTCGCCGCCCGCGGGCGTCGCCATCGTCCGCGGCGGCGCGGGCGACGACTGGGCCCTCGCCGCGGCGTTGGACGGCGGCGTCGCGCGCCTCGCCTACGACGCGGACGGCGGCCTGCGCGTGTCGGACGTCGCTGGCGTCGGCGCGGCGCTCGGCGTCTGCGCGGGGCCCGTGCCCGACGCGGCGCCCCCGGCCCTCGCCGTCGCGGCGGCGCCGAAGACCTGGTTCGCCTTCCGCGGCGACGCGGCGACGCGTGTGACTCTGGAAAATGGCGTCGCGGCGCCGAAGGCGCGAATCTCCGAGGCGTTCGACGCCGTCGACCTCCGCGAGGACGACGAGGCCGCGCTCGCCAACGCCTTGCACGCGCTCGCCGGCGGCGGGCCGGCGGCCATCCCCGCGGCGGCCGTCGTCGCCAAGGTCTTCGCCGAGGCGGCCTGCGGCGAGGAGGACGTGGTGGCGGCCGCGGGCGTCGTCTGCGGCTGGCCCTTCGGGTCCGACGCGGGCGCGGAGGCGGCGCTCCGGGCGGCGCTGCGGGGCCTGGGCTTGCGCGACGGCGGGTCCCGCGACGCGCGGCGCGCGTTGGAGGCGGCGCTCGAGCGTTTGGACGTGTTCCGCGAGCTGCTGGCGTCGATGGACGCGCGCGGCCGGGGCCTCCAGGACGCGGACGGCGCGTGGGCGCGCGCGTGGGCCCGCTTCCGCGTCGGCGACGCCTTCGAGTACGCCCTCAAGGCCGCCGAGGCCGGCGCCGTCGACGCCGTCGTGGCGCTGTGGCGGCGCACGCGGCTCGACGACGCCGCGCGCGCGGGCAGAGGCGCCGTCGCGCGCGCGCGCGCGGACGACCGCGTGCTCGCGTGCGTCGCGGCGCTGCCCGGCGACGCGGACCCGGAGCTTTACGTGGCCTGGCTCGCCCGCGAGGTCGCGCCGACGCTGCGGGGCGCCGCGCCCGCGCGGCTGCGCGCGTGGGCGACGGACGCGGCGCGCGGTTTGGAGGCGCGCGGCCGCCTCGACGACGCGCTCCGCGTCGCCGGCACCGTGCTGCGCGCGCTCGAGGGGCCCCACGCCGTCGGCGCGCTGGCGTCGGGCACGCGCGGCGACGTCTGGCTCGCGGATTTGGATCGAGTCGTCGCGACGGACGACGAGCAACCGAACCGCCCGCGGGACGAGCTCCGCGCGCTCTACGGCACGCTGCGCCACGTGCTGAGCCTGCGGGACGACCACGGCGTCGCGTCGACGCTCGACTCCTACGAGTCCGCGGACAAGTCGGCCATCGCGCGCGCGCTCCTCGACCGGGTCGAGGACCCGGCGGAGCTCGGAACGGAGATCGACGCGCACGTGCGGCCCATCTGCGGCGAGCACGGCGTCGACTGCGACGCGCTCCTGCTGGATTACGCGCGGGCCTGCGCGCGGGCCTTCGCCGTGGCGCGGGCGACGGAGAAGAAGCGCCGGTCGGGCGGCCGCGGCGACGCGGCGGACGCGACGGACGCGCGGCTGGCGCGCGCGCTCGCGGTCCGCGAGGAGATCGTCGACGACGCGAAGCGCCAGCTCGGCGCGCTCGAGGTCCTGGAGCGGGCGCGGCCGCCCTACGGCGCCGCCGTCGTCGCGCTCGCGACGGACGTCGGCGACGACGACGGCGGCGACGAGGACCGCCTCGACCCGGCGGAGCGCGACGTCGCGACGCGGCTCCGCGACGCGGCGCGCCTCGTGACGCTGACGCACCTCGCCCACAAGCATAGGGTGGCGAACTTCGACGCCGGCGACGCGGGCCACGCGCTCTTCCTCCTGGACCGCGTCGTCGACGGGTCGTGGCGCCTGTCGGGCCTCGACCCGAGGGACGTGCTCGAGGACGCGCGGACGCTCGCGCGGGCCTACCCGGCGACCCTGAGCCTGCGCGGGGCCGTGGTCGCCTTCGTGCAGAACTTGAGCTGCCCGGAGTTCGGGGACGCGGACCTCGGCGACCTCGACGGCTTGGCGGACTCCGCGCGCGCGGCGCTCTGCAAGCACGCGGCCATGGGCAGCGAGCGCCAGTCCGCGCGCCGCGAGGTGCTCGCCTACTTCGCCGCCACGCTCGACGACGCCGAGGCGCCGCGGAGCGAGCGGCGCTGCTGCGCGGTGCTCGGCGCGCGATTGGCCGCGGACGTCGTCGCCGACAACGACGGCGCGGGCGAGGACGGCGCGTTCCGCGCGGGCGACGTCGCGCTCCTCCGCGAGCTCGAGAGCGTCGTGCGGCTCCAGGGCGACTGGGGGCTCTGGGCCGCGTCGCCGGCGACGCTCCGCGACGACGCGCTCCGGGATCGGCTGCTCGCGGCCGCGGCGGCGCCGGTGCTCGCGGCGGACCCGGGGCCGGAGGCGCTGGCGCACCTCGGCGGCGTCGCGGCGCTCCTCGGCGCGCCCGCGGGCTGGGCCCACGCCCAGGTCGCGCTGGCGCACTGCGGCGACGACGCGCACGTCGACCGCGCGGCCGCCGCCGCGGACGCGGCCGCGGCCGCGGGCGCCGCGCCGGACCTGCTGCGGCACCTGGGCTACGGCCTCGTCGAACGGAACCGGAGCAGCCTCGACCTGTCGTCGGCCGTCGGCGACCGGCGCCGCGCGGCGGCGATGCGCGCGTTCGCGCGCGCGGCGACGGCCGAGCGCGCGCCGGGCGCGGCCGTCGAGCGCGACGCGCTCGCGCTCGAGTCCCTGGCCTTCGTCGGCGCCGTGCGGTCGCGCTGCGTCGGCGCGCCCGGGGCCCGGGACGTGGGCCGCGGCGACGACGGCCTCCTGCTGCGGCCGGACCAGGCGAGCACACCCGTCGCGGCGTTCGCTGCGGCCGTCGCTGCCGCGCTCCGGAGCGGCGACGCCTCGAACGTCGCGGCGGCGGCCGACGGCGTCGTCGACGTGCTCCGGGCCAACGCGGCCTGGCGCCTCGCGTCGGCGTGCCTGTGCCTACGCGACGCGGTCTGCGGCGCGTGCGGGAGCGAGGCGCAGTGGCACTCGGCGCGGCCGCAGGCCTACGCGCTCGAGCAGCTCCGGAGTCTGCTGCACAGCGACCCCAAGACCTGCGCGGGCCACGGCGAGCTCTGCGTCGCTCTGGCGCTGGCGGCGCCGCCGGCCCAGGCCTTCGAGGCCTACCGCGACGCCGTCGGCGCGTGCGGCGGGTCCGCGCGCGAGCTCGCGCGGCTCGGCCACCTCGCGGAGGTCGGCGAGGCCCTCGCGGCGCGCCTCGAGGACGGCCACCTCGAGCACGCGTCGCGGTCCCTCGCCGTGGACGCGCGCTGGTGGAAGTTCCTCCGGGAGCGCGGCGTCCGCTTCGACCACGCGCGCCTGTGTTTGCAAGCGTCGCCGACGACGTGCGACGTCGGCGCGATACTGAGGCGGTCGCGCGCGCACGCGACGGAGCTGCTGCCGGCCGTGCTCGACGCCGGCGGCGGCGCGCCCCTCGACGGCGAGACCATCGGCGCCGTGCTCGAGCTCTGCGGCCGCTACGGCGTCGCCGACGACGTCGCGGGGTCCGCGATCGCGACGCGCGTGCTCGCGCGCGGCGTCGCCGGCGGCGAGAGCTTGGACGTGGCCGCGCGGGAGGCGCTGGACCTCGTGCGCGACGACGACGCGCGGCGCCGCGTGCTCCGCGCCGCGCTCGCGACGGCCGACGGCGCGGCGTACGACCGCGTCGACCTCGCGCTGCGGCTCCTCCTCGAGGCCGGCGACGACGACGAGGCCGTGAGCCGCAGCCCGCTGGCGCCCGTGGACGCGAACGCGTCCAGGGAGGCGACGCTCCTGGCGTCGTGCGTCCACGCGGCGCCGCGCGACGCCGCGGACGCGCCGTCGTTCGCCGCGCCGTCGAGGGCCACGCTCACCAAGTGGCGCCGCTGCGCGGCGTGGCTCAAGGCCGTCGAGGACGACGCGCGCACGCAGCTCGGGGCCCGCGGCGCCGCGGCGCTGGGAGACCGCAAGCTGAGCTTCCACGACGTCGTCGCGCGGCCCCGGGAGGCGCTGTCGGATTTGCTGTCCGAGGCGTCGTGCCCGCACCTCTCCGTCGTCTGCGGCATGGTCGACGGCCTGCCGCCGGGGAGCCTCTGGGTCGCCCTCGCGGACAAGGCGGCGAAAAAGCCGCGGCCGGGCTCCAAGGAGGAGGCCTTCTTCTACCGCTGCCTCGACCGCGCGGGCAACGCGTCGCTCGCGTTCCGGAGGAGCGCCGAGCTCGCGGACGCGTTCGCGGCGGACCTCGCCGCGTCCCCGTCGGCGGCCGCGGGCCTGGGCGAGCTCCGGGCGACGCGCGAGGCGGCGAAGCACGCGTCGGCCTGGGCCGACGGCGCGCCGCGCGAGCCCGCGGCGCTCGAGGCGCGCGTCGACGCGAGGCGGCGCGCGGACGCGGCCGCGCGCCGCGCGGCGGCCGTGCTCTTCGGCGCGCCGGGCGCGGCCGTCGACGGCGACGGCGGCGCGGTGCCCGCCGCCGGCGGCGCCGCGGCGCTGCTCCGGCGCCTCTACGAGGCCGCGGCGTCCGCGGCCGCGGCCGCCGCGCTCGCCGCGCCCGCGAAGAGCGCGCGGGAGCCCGGCGGCGACGCCTTCGCCGCCGCGGCGCGGCGGGCCCACGGCGCCGCCGAGGTCCTCGCGGCGCGCGAGGCCGAGCCCGGCGCCGCGGAGGTCGCGCGGCGCGAGCTCGCGCGGCGCTG